GGAAAACTTTGAAAAACGCCCGCTGTTGGGACCGAGGTATAGGGGCTCATTGGCTAAAAAATAGCTCTTTAGCCTAGAGGCTAAAGTCAGCTAACCTGGGTCGGCAGGGAGCCGACCCAGGAAAGGGACCTCATGAGGACGCCGGAATCGGGAAGGACCAGAGAGCGGGAGGGGTGTCTCGTGTAACTCTTTTTATGTACATATGGACAAGTTCAACATCAGCTGGAAAACACTCGAGAACACAAGCTAGCAGCTGCCTGCTGCTCCTTTTATAACGTCACATTTCCCCATGTCCCTAGCAGGGAATCCCATGGTCCATGGCTCAACCAAAGCGGTGGGGCTATTGTTCGTAACGTTCAGGCACGCCTCTTCCCTCTCCCTCACACACTGCCACGCGCGTCACGCACATTGAGGGCCATACGTCCTTGGTCAGAGTGTCGCCTGTCAATCACGTCAGCCACGGCGCCATGGAAGTCGGGGTGGGGCAAACGTATAATTGTCCCCAACCGCAGGCGTCTTAGCTTCCGTGCGTTAAAGGGATGGTGAACCGAAATTTAGATTTCAGAAAACAATGCAGGAGCAGTAGGCGGGACGCTACAATCTCTACAACACTACTCGTAAGGCGATATTTCGAATCGACGGCCGTACTTTTGGAAAAAAATGAAAGGTCGAGACTGAACGAGGCCGACGACGCGCGTGACGTCAAAATATCTCGTTTCCTCCACTCTTCGTTTCGACCCTCAAGGCGGCGAGGCGGAGAAGACGCAAGGCCCTCTCCTTCTCGGAGAAACAAGACGTGAGCTTATCTGTCAAATGCGCCTCACATTTTTTTTTTTTTTTTTTTTTTTTAAATACGGTTATCTGTTTGATATATCATTGTATGAGTGATGTTTTGATGTTTGTATCATTCCGCTCACGCTTTTGCGTCCGTACTTTGTGGAATCCGGATTTGGGTTCAGCATCTTATTAAAGAAGTCTTGCAATCATATTTAAGCGTCTACCTTTTTTTGCGGTTTCCATATCTCTTGGGGTTTGGGCAAACCAGCGGGCAAGGAGAGAGTAACTAAGTATTAGTTTGCCATAGTATTCATTTAGTATTTCCTCATTTATATATGCCTATTTATTTTCCGGTCTTAGAGACTGCGACAGACCGCAAATCGGGCCCCTTAGCCCAAAAATTTTGGAGACCTCTGCTTTGGAGGAAGAAGGGGCTGTGTTTTTGTAACATTGAAAGCTACGAACCATAGAGCTTTTATGGAAGGGGGTTGAGGGGGCGGGTAGTTGAAGCTTCTATATCACACCCTTTACCCCACCACCCCGAACAGCCTGGATGAATGGGAGAAATACAAGCTTTACAGCGACTACTTCCAGCGGTTTATTGATTTTAAGCTACCGACATTTATCAAAGCAACACTTGTTTGCAACTTTTGTCGTGGGAGAAATTAATATTGCCAATGGGAATGGCGTCAACGCGAAATCCAGCTGAAGAAATACTAGTTGACACAAGCGTGTTCTCTCAGATCTGGTATATGCTTACACCCAATTATTATTAATATTATCATTTGTTTTTTAAATAGGACACATTGTAAAATGTAACTCCGAGTTTCAGAGAGTTGGGAATATGAAAAAAAAAATAAACCTCAATGAACCCGATTTTTTGGCAAAAACTAAAACCCTGTTTTTTGTCAAACTCTTTCGAACTTGACGAAAAATAAGCACCGAAATCTCGGAATCCTACTTATAACCTTACGCGTTTTAATGTTTTTTTTTAATTTTTTTTATGTTTTCATGCATTGTTTTTTTTTTGTTTTTTTTGCAGAAACGGAAGTTTTTAATCACAACTGAATGGCGAGTTTAAATCTCTTCGCCCGGTCTCACGGCTGTCACGTAAAGTTTCACGGTACCTTGTACCGAGTTGCTGCACTCGTTATGGTAAAACATGCGTTCAAATTATGTTCCGCATATTTTAACTCATAGCGGAGGTAGACGCTGCTACTGAGCATGCGCACCGCTAGCTTTGTCTGCACAACTCCTGGGAGTATTTCCGGAGGCAGTAAGCAAGCGGGATGGCGGGTGTGGTTGCAGCTTTCGCTGCCTTGTCAGCTTACAGGTGAACGGAGTGCACCTACATTGTTTGCTTAAATGCAATATTTTAATTTTACAATGACTACGATAATACGGATGTATGAGATATGAAAAGTAGTGTTCCACAACATTTTTGAAAAATATCACAATTGCTTCTTTTGTTTTCCGGATAAGTGTACGGAAAAAGTAACATGAAAGTAATTTGTAGCGTAACGAGTAAAGTAATCCGTTACTTTTCAGCGAAAGTAATTTGTAACGGCAATCCATTACATTTGAGGCTCGGTAATTTGTAATTGTAATCCATTACATTTTTCAAGTAACGAGCAGAAGTCAGGCCTCGCGTATTCACTAAGCATATCTTAACAACAAGCTCGAATGGGTGCGCAAAAACAAAAGCATCACGTTACATTACGCATGACGACTCGTATACCTCAATTGCCACATCTATTAAAAAAAAAAAACTATATACTGAAACTACTACCCGAGAGAACCAGAATGGCCCTTCTTGTTTTCTTTCATAGCATTAACAATTCCTCACCTGAGTTTCACGCCTTGATTAACCCCTCAAAGTTCACCCTTCCTTCTCCAGAACTAACAAATTTAAACGCCATCCACTCTCTCCCGATATTGCCGGCTGGAACTCGTTGCCCCCGCACAATGTCCAGGAAACAGAAGAAAAAAATTTCGTGAAATGTGTGATTTAGTTTTGTGAACTGACAGTGTTATTTTTCGAGTTCTGCTTTTCTTTTTGTGTACTTTATTGCACATAATCCCCCCCCCCCCCCCCCCCCCCCTTTATGTGAAGTGCTCTCTTGAGCACCTTTGAGGTAATAAAACTGAACTGAACGTGATCCCCGTCCACGCACCCCGTGACGCCTGCGCCGCTCTGCACTGCGACAGCTAGAGACGGAGTGATGCGGGGCGCTCTGACAGGGAGGGGCGCCCTCGGAAAGAGCCAGCCGATCAGGCCCTCATGCCACCGCACCCCCTTTCCACCGCCCGATCTCGCGCGCTCTGAAAAGAAGCCCCCGAGGGCGCGCAAAAGAACCCCCCATATTTACAATAGACAGTTTTAGTATAGCGTTCCTGGATCTTACGTACGCAATACGCAATAGTATAGCGTACGCTAAAAATGACCTGCTCGGACCGAATTTAGTTGTGCGTTACGTTTTCGAGTTAACACCGCGCATGATCTTGGTTAAATTTGCCAGAGCCGTAGAATTCCGCGTGCTTATAGCGCAACCATGCTCCTGAAAAGAAATATTGAAAAAGAAAAAGTGTCCAATCATTTTATTTAAGATGAAACCAAGCCACAGCTAGCTGCCTCGTCAAGCGCGCTTTTCTGCGGGGTACAGAGGCTACGAGTACGAGTGCGAAGCCAAATTCGATCACGAAGCCTCCGTCAGTCGTCCCGGGGAAACGGCACCTTTTATCAATGCTATCGCGGAATGAAATTCATGACCCTGATGTCCAGTGCATAGCGAGAACTTCGGCGATTTTTTTAGAGTCGTTCGTCCGTCGGCGATGAACTGTGGAAATAGGCTTAGCGTTGAGCAGATCGCAGCGTCGACGCACACTGCGAGCGGCGAACATTTCCACTGTGCACTCCTTCAGCTGCAGGGCGATCTGATTCGAGCGCGGTAGGTTCCAGAAAGAATCGCCGAGCTGAACACCACGCAATTTCACGTAACACAGAACTTCGAAAACACCACGTCGCCCTTGCTGCGCCAGTCGAGGCAACCGCCATCTTGAAACTGGCGCTCTCGTTTGGTCCGAGATCTCTCGAGAGCGTCCCGCAAGGTCCGCTAGCCAGCGACGCAAAATCCCCGGCGTTGCGTGCGTACGCAATACGCTAGCCCTTCGATTGCGTTCTGCGCATGCGCACTCACGACCCGCAATCTCCTTGCGTACGCAAAGCTATAGCGTACGGTCCACTAAAACTGTCTAATAAGAAAGATTCTAACCCGTATCTGTTGGGACGACGAAGATACGCCAACATTTTTATATCGGAAGGGGGGTACTCTTCGTTCATATTTCTATAGTTATAATCTTGATTAGGAAAATATTTTTTTTCCTATCTGCTTGTGTGTCAGTTTCGTGTGACTTTTTCCTTTTTTTTTTATAATGATAACTCACGTTATTTTTTAGAACCTCCGATTCCTTTTTTTTTTTTCCTTGGAGTATTTTGTCACCAGGGCTACATTTAGTATGCTATTAAAGGAATATTCACACGAGGGAGAAATCCCGGGGATTTCTCACCGGCACGCGCGCATCACGAGACGAAAACGCGAGGCTTTTGCACGTCGCAAAGCCTGACGTTTTCGTCGCGGGATGCGCGTGCTGTGGAGAAATCCCCGGGATTTCTCCCTCGTGTGAATACCCCTTAAGGAGCGGCGAACCTGACATTTACGGCAGTAAAAGAAATCACGCATACCTTGTGTACCCCTTAAAATAGAGTTTCTCAAAACGCGCTACAGTATATGCCATTTGATAGAAGCGTTCATTTCTGTTTTCCTCGGTTGTTTCCAAGGTCAAACCACTCGTGACTCGTGTCGCTATAGATGACGACACACCGAACCAACGCTCTGTCAATTATCCTTGACGGGCACTCCAGATAGGCGGGTCCGCGCCGCGTTCGTTCGCTCGACCTCCGCCTACTGGAGTCATCGGCCACGCCGACTTGATAAAAATCCAGAAGGAGTTGTCTTGTGTTGTCCTCAATCCTTACTAAGTTTCTGTTTTTGGCGCTTTTAGTACGTAATGAACCAACTAGCCCATCTAACCATTTTGGATAAAAATAACCCGCTACGCTCTCTATAGCCGGACCAATCGCATCATGTTAAATATTTGTGAGAGCTATACTCCCGTTTACACTGTGTCGGCGTTGCCACACCCGTCGCATCGTAAAAGTCGACATATACACGACCGCACCGTCAGGGGCGTCAGATTCAATCGTAAGCGCTAGGAAGCTTGCATTTAAAAAAGGAAGCAACTCTAAAAACGGACAGCGGACACCTACTGAGCGGGTTGGTTGCTCGTGCGCACCCGCGGGTTGCCGTGTGGTAAGAAAGATAGTGTGAGGAGTGGCTGAGCAAAGCCCGGAGACGCTTGCAAATGATCGACGCCTTTCGCTTCCTCCTTACACCCTGCACACGCAACCCTTGCACCACGAGCCCTCGATAGTGTACTTGAAAACACGCTCAGATCCGGACGCACAAGTTGGCGCGGTCGTCAAGACGAGGCGTCGTCGCTAACACGACTCGCTCGCGTTGACAGCAACGATCATGGGTCTTCTGGGGTTCGTCGGCTTACCGGACTGGATTTTTTTACTGGCGACTGCTTTAGTCCTGCTGTACATGTAAGTTTTTTTGTTTTTTTTTCCGCCTGTCTACTTCTGGGGAACAGTTGGCATCCGATACACACCATTCCCGCATTCGCCTTATGCGCTGTCGCTCTCTTGAGCGGGGTAATGAACGATGCGCACACGTGCGCAGCCCACTGACTCGGCATTTTTAACCTAGGTGATAAACTCTGCTAGGGTGCACAGTCATTGAAACAGCTTAAGGAACGCAGGTCGTGGTAAGTGTTGCGTAGTCGGGGACTCGAACCAGGTAACCTGCTAGGACTGGAGTCCCAGCGTCTTGTGCGGCAAGGTTAAACTGGTTTATTTACATGAGTATATATATATACACAAGAAACAACCAGTATGATATAATTCAAGTCAGTCAGTCGAGACACACGTCAGAGCAGCGCCCTGTTCCTTTTTAAATTGTCAAGCAGACGGTTTTTTAATCTTTCTCTTGTATGTGTATAAAAAAACAACACATAAATTTCAGGCTTAATATTTATATTTTTCCTGAAACCCTCACTCATGAACTTCGAGTAAAATCGACGCACCACTTAAAGACAATTATGTGAAAAGTTTTAGGGCGCTACATTTATTGTTTTATATATACGAATGTGTCTACGCCAGAATAGGGCTCAGAAATGCCCCTGTGTACAGTCCTGCAAAGCGTCTACTGAGGAAACGCAGCAATACTTCCCTGGGTCGTTCGTGTCTCCGAGTGAACAACTTGGAGCTTCCAACAACCTGCTTATCGCTGGTACCGAAAAGACAATAGCTTCGTGTACTTGTGGCTGACCGTACTTATCTCTTACCGGCGGACCCCGTCATATCGTGCACCTTCGACACCGTCGCGGATTGTTTTGAACGTCATAAAAGCACCTCACTTGGATGAATTATGGAGGACGAGCTTGCTTTGGCTGCGTAACAAAAATTACTTTTATACCTCATTTCACCTTGAGTTCATGTTGTCGACGCTACGAGCGGACGGGACCAGTCAGACCAGACTTGGGAAGTAATCCGTTATGAGTAACGGATTACTTGTAATCCGTTTCTGTTTCGATTAATTTTGTAATTGCCAAGCTGCTTTTTGCGGCAGTAATTTGTAATGCAATTTCGTTACAAAATATTGGTAACGGATTACTTTAATTACTCGTTACTTTTTTTTTAATAGGAGCATAATACAATAACTGGAGCAATATGGAGTGTGCCAGTACCCGCTCGACCAAAACGCAGAAAGCAGCTCTTGCGAAAATGCATTTTTCAGTAGCTTGCAACTCTACTCCGTGCATGAATAAGCTCACAGTGCTTCAAAGCTACAGGCAAGAGACCGCGGCTATGAGACGTTGCGTTCACACTTAAAAAGGCCTGTTTCGAAAAAGAGCTTTCGTAATTCGGTTCCTTAACTCTGAATCCCGTAGCGGAGGTAGACGCTGTAACAGAGCCTGCACACCGCTAGCTTAGTCTGCAGAATTCCAGGTATTTCCGGTCGCCGTATGCAAGCGGGATGGCGGGTGTGGTTTCAACTTTCGTTTCCTTGTCAGGCAATATTTGAACGGAGTGCACCTACATTCTTTCTCTTAAATACACTGTCTTATTTTTACAAGAACTACCATAATGCGGGCGTGTGGGAAATGGAAATTAGTGTTGCAAAACATTTTTTTCTAAAACATAATTTTTTTCAAATTGTTTTATTGATAAGTATACGGAAAAAGTAACATGAAAGTAATTTGTAACATAACAATTAAAGTAATATCTTACTTTTCAACGAAAGCAATTTGTAACGGTGATTCATTACATTTGAAGCTCGGTAATTTGTGATTTTAATTCATTACACTTCTTCCAAAAACGGGCACAAATCTGACTCAGACAGCGTCAAAAGCGCTGCACCATCATGGTGTTCGTCATGTCTCTGTGTGTGTTCTATCGTCGCTGAACCAATCATAAACAACAAAGGCCAAGTGACTCGCGCTTTCCACGCTGGTTGATTGTTCCCATTACTTGGTAACGCGCCGGCTACGTCTGGACTTAAGTTGAAACGAAGTATAGTCATCTTAAAGCCACGGAGAGCTCGAAATAGCGGTCCCTCTGCACATGCATCATACAAAAGACAGTCTGCTGACACTGCCTCAGGCGTGTTTCTTTCTTGTCACATTGGGCACACAAAAGAACATGTTTGAGGCGTGTTCGCATGTAATATACCTCTTCCTGCATCGAAACGATCTTAGCGGCAACGCATCTTGGGTTCCGATTGGCCACTAAGTCTCGGTTTCGATTCGCCAACCTCACTTTATGGCATTCGTCCACGACCAAATAAAGTGCTCGCATGTTCAAATATGTGACTGTCCTTGAATTTATAATACTATGGGTGTTGCCTACCGATATGTATATAAAACGCTGGGGCACGTGTTTTTTTTGTTTTTTTTTTCGACGTGCCGGAGTTTTTGGACAAGTAAACACAGGATGACTCTGGCATATGGAGGAAGAAGTATACTGCACGGTCGTCAAGTTTCATCGTCTCTTCAATGTCTTAGGCTTCTTAAAGCACCCCTGAGCGTGGAGTGTCATGCTTGCCCTCAGGAGATCTAGCCAGGCCACCAGAAAGGTGTGAGACGCGGGAGGCCGTGCTCCTACTCCTTGCTAAGCCCATAGGCAGGCACATGAGGCCGCTGAAGGCTCGTGTTTCAACGGGTATTCTCGTGAATATGAATGGGTACGATACAAGCGACCGCCGACTTTTGTTTTTATGCAGTGCTAAGATGCCCTACTTCGTCGAGAAATCGAAACCGAAACCATGCCCCTCCTCTCTATGGCCAATCAGGTTCCTTAATGCAACGTGCAAAGTGTCGCATGCGGAGATTTTTGGAGGTAGTCTATTCTTTCGTCGTGTCTGCATGCAGAGAACACCCTGCCTTTTGTATGGTGTATGAGAAGTGTGTGGCGAGTCACGTGGGCACCCTGCAGTGCTATCAACAAAATGTTCAATTAAGCTAGTTGATTCTTGACTGGCTGGATGCGCCGAAGGACACGGACAAAATACCAATGTGACAGCAGCGTCATGGCTGTCGTTACCTCCTTCACTTTGGCTGCCTTCACGGAGATTCGACAGTACCGCATCGAATCGAGATTTAACTGCTTTGACTGGTATCAGATGAGTAGAAGAGAAAGAAGCAGGAAGATAGGGTGTGTGTGGTTGGTCCGGGCTCTGTTCGATGCGGTGCGATCGTATTCATGTAAACCCTTTGGCCCTGTCCTTCAGCCCTTATAACCAACCCTATTATCGATTTGCAGTCAATGAGATTGCAGAATAAGCCGATAAGAAGGCGGAACGAAGTACGCAGTCAAAAGCGTGTACATAATAGCAGCACCCTGCATTTGTTAAGCTGTCAATGATTATAAAAAAAAAATTGGGTTGTGTGTGTGTTTATACAGCCTAGAACTTGGTCTGCCTCACAGGGGCGACGAGTCTCCCAGCTGTAGATGAGAAATTTAGCCAGTGCGGTACAGCCGCTAGCCTGGGGTCTTTAACGTGCATCACGCAGTAGTGATACACGACCGCACGCCGGTACGATGCTCATCCAGATCGAAACGGGCAGGGGTGGGGCTCGAGCCCAGGATCCCTGGGTTCTGCAGCGCGAGCTTTTGCTCCACGTGCTCCGAGCTGGTGTGCGCTAGACCACTCGGCCACCGATCCCCCCTCAATGATTATAGTGACGACTATGCTCTGTTTCACCTTGTGTTGTTCCGCAGGAAAGGCTACAAGCGCGAGCTCCTTGCTCTGGGGCACATCTCGGCGGCACAAGCTCTCGTGACTTAAGAGCGGCTGCCAACGCTATGAGGTCACGCTTCTAGCCTTCGCTGCAGTACAACATAAGGTGAAACGGAGTATAGTGGCTGGTGATCATGATATAGAAAACCCGAGACTGTGGTAAAAGCAGGGAAACGGGTAGCTTGTGGGTATATAACACATTGAGGAAATCAACGCAGTAGCTGAGTTTGAGACTCTCGTGTCCTCTGTCTTTCTTCTTCGACACCGCTTCCCCTGCTTTTACCACAGTCTCGGGTTTTCTACATCATGATCAACATCCATCAGCTCGCCTGCGCACTCACTTTTTTTTTTTTTTTTTTTTTTTGCATTTTTAGTGGCTGGTGTCATCTACTCCCAAGCAGACGCGGCCAACGTTTATATACTAGTCGTATCGATAGTTCGTTGGTGTTCACTGTACTGAGTCCAGATGACACTTGTTTTCCTTTATTTTCTTATATTTTCATGCAATAACTCCGACATCCTCATGCAAACTTGCAGCGTGGTCCGCGAGCGGGTCACCGCTCCGTCAAGAAAAAGCTTAACTTCCTTTCCATTTTCCTTTTTAAACACGACAACGAGCCGTGGCGAGCCGATGTGAGTGGCCCCACCGGGGCATCAATGAAAATTTCTCTACTTGCTCGGTGCATGGACTCACTCGGGCGACGCCGCGACGCCCGAGTGAGTCCAAGCCATGCGCAAGCCATGCCCAAGCCATGCGCAAGCCATGCCCAAGCCTTGACCTCCTCTCCACACCACTCGTGAACGTGATTGCTAGCACCTAGCGGTTTCGCCATGGAACACGTCACGGGTTGGGACGCCATAGCTTGCTGGAACGTGTCGTGTCGAGGAGGGAAGTCTCCCCGGCTTTGCCGTGAACTTTCTCCGGCTCGCCATAGCCACGGTGCCAGTTTGTATACCCTTTTTGCGCGTTTTTGATAGAGTTTGGCGGTTCGGCACAGAAAGCTCTAATGGTGCAGAGATTTATATTTGTGTTTAAAAAATTCATACGCACAGGTTAGGTACATCCCGCTCCATGTAAACATGAAGAAAGGTAGAAAACGCAGGCGAGCTGGTGAATGACGTCCGTAGTAACCCTGAGACGTTGGAACAATAAAAAAGCGGACAGAACTACTCCGCATACAGCATCTTTAAAAGCCATCATTGTTGCGTCAGTAATATCGCGTGTTTTGAATAACTTCTGTATCAGGGTCTTTTTCTCTGGTTTAATCGTATACCTCCTCGAATAAACCACGGGCCTATTTGTCCTAGCTAAGAAAAACCAAAACCGAAAGCATGTACCGCATTTCACAGACTAGAGTCGGCGGACTATCATTCTTAGAAGTTGAAACTTTACCCAATGGGTACTACCAAGGTGGACTATAAGATATTCGCGTTTCTAAATCGGTCATTATAATCAGATGTGAAAAATACAATAAATAACAAGGTATGTAAAAAAATGACGTTCGTGTTTATACAACGTAAGGTCGGTCTGCCTTTGAGGTACGGAAACACTGGTTTGCGATGGAGATGAGAAATGTAGCTAGTGGGGTACCATTGCTAGGCTCGGGTCTTTAACGTACATCACGCAGTTGCGATACACGACCGCACGCCGGAACGATGCTCATCTCATCCAGGTTGAAACGGGCAGGGCTGGGGATTGAACCCAGGATCCCCATGGGTTTTGCAGCGCGAGCTTTCGCTCCAAGTGCTCCGAGCTGCGGTGTGCGAACACACTCAGCCACCGATCCACCTCCCATACACAAAGTATGTCCATGCTGATTTATGTGTACAACAAGCTTTTTTTTTTTTTTTTTTTTTTTTGTAAGTCACAAGTGCAGACTTTTGTCAAGGCGTGCTTTGTATGACAATGTGTAACGTGCGGACTAGGCACCAGGCCCGGTCTTTGTCCGTAAAACACGGTATAGGTTCAATTAACCACGACCATTGCATGATCGAACATGCGAGCCAGGCAGGCTAAAAGCATAGCGTCCACTCTTGTGGCTTTTGCTTCGCTGGCGCTTGCGGTGGAACGTAGCGTAGTAGAATATGAAATTTTGGCACGCATTATGCCCGAGTCCCACCATAGAGAGACAAACAGAAACAAACGAATGCGACAAACTTCACACAAATCCAGCGTGCACGCGATGGTACCTTTGACAGGCGTTTAGTCGTTCGGTGCTCGTGAAGTAAGCACGAGTGATTGCAAGCTTGCCAAAGATATACCCTCGCGTGCATGATGCTCGTATTTGAGCCGTGAAATCGTGAAAGACTCTCGTTTTGGGTTTGTCGCTGCCATTTGTTTCTGTTTGTCGTTCTAGTGGGACTCGGGCATTAAAGAGTAACACGAGCACAGTGTCACTATTCGCTGTTTTTGTTTTGCTTTTCCTCACGCGTACCATTTTTTCTCGCACACGCAGGTACATCACCCGAAACAGCAATTACTGGAAGAAGCAAAATGTTGTACACATGACATTCTTCGAGACTTTCGGAATGTTGCTGAAGATTTTACGCATGGCAAGTATTATAGGACATTGCAAGTCCCAAAGAGGGCCTCAATGTTCTACCTGAAGCCTCGCCGCTGACACTGCTCACACATCGTACAAAAGACACGGAGTTTCTCTGCAGACATGATGACAACATTATCTGCGGGCATTCCTCAAGCATGTTCGGAGCATTCTTACTTCGCACATAGGTGTGCTTCGAACAAGTCTGCAGTCACTTTTTGTGCAATCCACGTACACAGCCAGTATCCGCAGACTGTCTTTTGGGCATGATGTCTGCGGACTGTCTTCTGGGCATGATGTCTGCGGAGCGCAAGTTTGTCTGCTTCTTTTGCAGGGGTTGTGGTGACGTCAGAACGCCAAGCTCCGATTGATTTTGATTGAAGGATACTAGACTTTCAGGCAGCTTGCTTTGGGCTCTACCATCCTTCAATCAGAGGCAATCATAGCGCGGCGTCTTTCTGACGTCACCAAAACTGAGAAGCAGACGACTTGCTTCCCGCATTAGCAGTCGGACCGTGGCTCTACTTCTTCGTTACGGCCAATGTCGATAGCATACAATTACAAGAGATACAAAAACACAATTTGGCGAGTAGAAAAATCACGGCGAATCAGCGGTAAATGCTTTAAAGTAGATGACCTAAAGATATGGCAGTGTGCCTCATGCTCCAGGAGAAAAATAAAGCAGATGTAGGATGGCTAAATAAAGCACGCAGGGTGTCTAAAGCATGTCTGAAACCAGGTACAACCGCACCACCTTCCGAATGAAGAACCAGAGGAGCGGGGATGGCGGCGGAGACGGTGTGGCAGGGACTGTCGGTCTTGGTGCCGCTGTTCTGGTCGGCGTGTTCGTACATCATGCAGTTTTCACGGAGGGAGCGTGCGCGTTAAAGGGGCACTGACACATCAAAATCATATTTTTTTTTATTATCCGAAACGATTGAAAACGATGCCGGGACATTACCCTCAAAATTTGAAATTTGGGAATTCAGAATTTGTGAAGTAAAAAAACAATTTCCAAATGCCGAATTCGAAGTTCCCGCGCGATCGGCGCCGGTGCCTTGACGTCAAAAATTGCGGAGACCTGAGAGTCCCCTTTCTTTCACCACTCCCTGCTGTTGCCATGGCGACCCAAAGCGAGGAGGAAAGGAGCGGGCGGCGGCGTTCCGGCGGACCGGTTTTGAGCGGTGTCGCCTGTTTTCCGTTGGAGGATACAAATCCAGGAGACGGCACCACAACGAACTCCCGATTTTTGGTATTTCAAAAAGAAGAACCGTAGTGCGTTCGCAATTGCGTTAAAAAACATGTTTTAGGATTGCCGTAATTAAATGTTATAGAGATGTCACCTACAAAGCTTCTAAATTTCATGATTCTTGACTTCACCGATCAAAAGAAGCGAGGAGGCGAAAGGCGGGAAAATCAAACGCCAAAAATAAAAAGGCGCGCGCGCGCGCGAAAAAATTTTTTTTCGCGATGCGGGTTTTTTTTGCGTGTCTATGACTGCGACTTGCATCGTTTTAGACAATAAAAATAAATACGACCTTTGGGGTGTCAGTGCCCCTTTAAGATAGGAATTGTTATCTGCTTCTCAACAGCGCTGCACAAAGGGATCGCGATGTCTCATTTCATTAGGAAGTTTTCGTAGATCGGATACACTGTGTATCTCGGATTCTGCTGTTGCCAGCACAATCTGTGCTCTAACTTGACGCCTAAAACTCCCACAAGTAGTGCAAAGCTCTCGCGTACGATCTGCGAAAACAATTATTCTTCCCAGAAAGAAAACAAATTGGGCGTCTGCATGTTTATACAAACTTAGTCTGCCTCAACGGGGACTTGTCTCGTTATTATGCAGTTTCCATATATCGTTACCGCAGGCTACCGTAGGCACGGCAACGCTCCTGGCGCGCGCTGAAAATAAGGCTTAAAAGGTGAAGCGCGAACCTGTGGTTGCAACGCCACTGCCTTAGTAACCGAGGTACAGGTTGATCACGTGTTGCAATGCACTAAAACCGCAATGGTGTGCAGTGAGCTGTGAGCCTCTGACTAAGAGACGTCAATAATGTGAACGCTGCTCTACCGGAGCTTGACGATCACCATGCGCGGCTTACTTTTTAGAGCACAGCGCAAACACCACGACATTTTCATCACCCACAACACTATTTTGCCACAAACAATGATGTGGCCGGCGCCCAAAACACACTCGCCTTCCACAAAGCGTCAGAAATTCTGTGATGTTTCCGCAACGTCTAGAAAACGAAATGCTGATCTTCCTAAAGTACGTCAACATATCCCTAACCTGTGACACGCTGCTGTCCTGAGCGTTTCGCATTCGTAGCCAAGTAAATTAATTTAAGCACACTGACCAGCGTCAGCGAGCAGGTGCACAGAAAATCTGTCCCCGTCTCTTCCGCCATCTAGGAAGTACCGCCCCACCATCCATAGGGCTCTATTCCCTTTACTCTGTCAGCTTTAGCAGAGAGAGTGCCGCAGAGGAGGCGAGATGAGTCGAGAAGGGACTCGCCTCCTCACCGGCGTCCTTTCTAGTAAAAAGGTAAGAGGGAAGTGCTTCGCGGGAGGGCATATTTTAGGCTCATAGCAAGTCTTCCAAACGAATCGCGTTAGGCGCTGCAACCCCTCGCTTCGCTCGGGAAAGTTTTACAATCTCAGACCCGAGCGTGCATCTAGCCTCGTCGGAACGGCTCACCAGTCGTCGTCCTCCCTGTCACGAGGTACGCAAGGCTCGTTCAAATAATCATTTATGTAAAGAAAAAGAATACGAGACCCAATTGAATCCAGGCAATTTGTATTGAGAAGAAAATGAAAAAGGGTGTCTAATAAAAAAGGAACATGAAGATAAACCGAATTGAGGGATATGTACACAAGGCAATATTCACTTGAGTTCCGGTCTTTTCCGTTGGCGGAAGATGCTCAAGGGGTTGCGGATGTAGTTGCCGGGTTCTGGATCGTGGTTACCAAGTTCTCGATGATGGTAACGGGAGCCTGGATTCCGGACGCCGAAATTCCCAATGGCGATCGCTGGGCTAACCCGGACCTGGTCGGCACCACGCTGATGGATGCTTTGGCCACGGCGAAGGGATCTCGGGATCGGGTTTCTTAGTGTCCTCTCACCGACTGAGCTCCGGCAGCCTTCCTGTTGCCTTGCTTCAGCCCGCAACTCGCTGACTGGTTCTGGTTTGGGTCATGGCACCCAAGCGCCCAGGCCCGGCAGTTCGTCGCGATGGCTGCACTCCGACGACCGTTCGACGATCTCTTCCACTTCTTTTTTCTTTTTTCTCCCCCCTCGCGCAGCTCTCAGCTTTTTCTTCTTCTTTCGTGAATCGACCATGACAATAGCCCCCCACAAAAGTTTTTTCTTTCCCCCCTTTACCAGACACACACCAACGAAACAAAAGAAAGAAAAAGACATATACATGAGTCGATTCTGCACACCAACCGCGGGCTGGCGTCCAGTTGAAGGGTCGTCGGTGTATCCATTCTTCCCCACGACAAAACGTTCAAAACAAGATCATTCCTCTCATCCTTCTGCAATCAGAACTAAGAGCCACGGTAAACCAATCAATTCCACATCAAATACGGCTTAAGTAATCCCCTCCGACATTTTCGGACCCCTTAATGTACTGAACTATAAACTCGTACTCTTGCAAAAGTAGACTCCACCGCAAAATTCTACTATTTGACGTTTTCATTTTGCGGAGATACTGTAGGGGCTGGTGATCCGTTTGAACGATAAATTCTTTGCCATACAAATAGATGTGGAATTTTTGAATGGCCCAGACCAGTGCCAGCGCTTCCCTTTCGATGGTAGGATAGTTCATTTCCCTTGGCATCAACGTTCTGCTGGCACAAGCAACAGGATGTAGGAGTGTTGAATGTTTCTGCATCAACATAGCGCCCAAGCAGCTATCTGACGCGTCTGTACGAAGGATGAATGTCTTTGTCAGGTCAGGAGCCTTGAGAATTGGTCCTTTTGAAAGCTCTCGCTTCAGTTCCTGGAAGGCAAGCTCTTGTTTGCTGGTCCAACGGACGTTGTTGGGTTCCTTCTTTTTTGTCAACTCGACGAGAGGCAGAGCCTTCTGTGCGTAATTGGGAATGAACTGACGGTAGTAACCGGCCAGCCCCAAAAATGACCTAACTTGTTTCTTGGTTGTGGGTCGCCTGGATCCCACAATTTTTTCTACGGTTTCTGGTACTGGCGCAAGCTCACCATCCCCTACTCGATGTCCAAGAAATGTGACGTACCTCATCCCGATCTCACATTTGCTAGGCTTTATGGTCAACCCAGCACGTTCTATTCGTCGCAAAACTAGCTCAAGCACGGAGGCGTGTTCTTCCCAGGTGCTGGACGCAATCAGGACATCATCGATGTAGTGTTGCACACCATCTATTCCGCGCAGCACCTCTCTCATTAACCGTGTGAAGATTGCTGACGCAGTTTTTATACCAAAAGGCATGTACCTAAATTGGTATAAGCCCGAAGAGGTGCAGAAGGCAGTCTTCTCTTTTGAGTCTTCTGATAGCGGGATTTGCCAATATCCTTTTGAAAGATCCAACTTCGAGAAATAGGTCTTTTTTCCTATTTCTGAAAAGACAACATCGACCCTAGGAATCGGTTCGGCATCTGAGACCAGGATGTCGTTAAGTCGACGAAAGTCGATACAGACACGGTAGGTTTTGTCCTGCTTCTTAACAAGCACCAATGGCGAGCAGTATGGAGATGTTGACTTTTCTATTACGCCCAGCTTCAGCATCTCGCCTACCTCCTCTTCGATCACGCGCTCCATCGCGAAAGGAATCGGGTACTGTGGTGTATGCACCGGTTCCTGCGCGGTCAGCTGCAGCTTACATTCCAAGATATCTGTTTGGCCCGGCACATCCGTAAATATTTTTGAATATTTCGCTAGGATGTCCATAACGTCGCTCCTTTGCTTCTGGCTAAGATCGTCGGCTAGCGCGACTTCACTTACTCCCTGCTTACTTCTCAGGTCAAGACACGGAAGCTGCTGATCAGCCGACGTATCCTCTACAGCTAAAATTGAGGACACTTGCTCCTTTGTCTGACTTGTCGTCTCACGTTCCTCGTACCGCTTTAGCATATTTATGTGGAATGTTCTAGTGGTATGCCCAAGGTCTACCTCGTAGTCAACCTCGTTCCTTTTACCCACGACGATGAAAGGGCCTTTCCAATGCATTAGAAGCTTGTTCTTTTTCGTCGGGATCAGGAGTAGGGCGCGATCTCCTACCTTCAGAGCCCTCCTTGCAGTCCTTCTGTCATACAACTTCTTCTGGTCCTTTCTTGCCGAGGATAAGCTTTGGTGGGCAAGCTCTAGCGTTCGCTCAAGTCGACTGCGCAGGTCAAACACGTAGTGGTAAGTCGTCTTAAGATTAGTTCCCAACTCGTCTCTCGTCCAAATCTCCTTCAGCAGGGTCAACGGTCCCCGAACATGACGTCCGTAGATTAAATCAAACGGAGAAAACCCCAGACTGGCCTGCGGCACTTCACGGTATGCGAATAGGAGTGGCGCTAAGTATCGATCCCAAGATCGTGGCTTCTCCTGGCACATCTTGGAGAGCATTTGTCGCAGGGTGCCATTATATCTTTCTACTAATCCGTTGCACATAGGATGATAAGGTGTAGTATGCAATTTCTGGATAGACAATAACTGTGTCAGCTCCTGCATCAGTCCATATGTGAAGGTAGCACCTCGATCAGACAAGATCTGCCTCGGCAGCCCTACTCGAGAAAAAATCTCTAATAATCCTTCTGCGACAGTGCGAGAATCGCACGATGGTAGCGCTACGGCATCAGGGTACCTAGTGGCAAAATCTACCATCGTCAGGATGTAGCGATTTCCATTTTCTGAGGTAGATGAGAGGGGACCTATAAGGTCTATGGCCACCCTCTCGAAAGGGGTGTCAATAATGGGCATTCGGCCCAGTGGCGCTTTCTTTAGTCTTCCTTTCGGTGCAGCCCTTTGGCACGCATCACATGACTTCACAAATCTCTTAACATCGGCCTGTATTCCTGGCCAGTAAAACGCTTCTAACACTCGGTCAGTAGTTCGTTTTATGCCCTGATGTCCGGCCAACGCACTGTCGTGTGCTATCTCGAGGACGTAGGTTCGCAGTGTCTTTGGTACCACCACTTGTTTGAAACTCTTTCCACCCTTCTGTTCATAGCGACGGCATAAAACTCCCTTAGAGAAATAAAAGCTGATTTTAGAACCGTCCTTCGTGCTTTGCACTTGCCCAACTTTGGTTCGGCACGCCTCCAAGGTGTCATCTTCTTTCTGCCGCCTTTTGAGTTCTGTAGAGTCGATGTCAATTCTAGTTTCTTTGCTAGTAGTTGGAGTCGCCTTCGTTGCTTTCACTCTATTCGCCGCTGCTATTTCACCAGCGTGCGGAACCGCATCTTCCCTCTCTTTTGAGGATTCTTTTCCTCCTCCGGGCGTTTGGTTCCTCTCGGTGTCCCATTCGTAGCTTGGTTTGTCAGCCCCTCGTGCTCCCTCAACATTTCCGATAATTACGTCGTAAAGGGGGGCTTCCATGCATTTTACGAGCAAGTCTCCCGTAAAATATGGGGAGCGTAGGCTTATCTTGGCTTCCGGCAAGCTTAAAATCGTTCCATCCACAAGGCATACCATCCCCATTTTTCCAGTGAGCTGGGAGTCTGGTATCAAGCTGCGTCGGGTAATAACCGTGTTGCTACCGGTGTCACGTAGCACGCTAACCACTTGTCCGTTCAATCGGCCGCTCAAAACAGGCATATTTTCCACCTCCCTAGTCGCCTGGGTTTCTTGCACGACGTTCACCATCTCTCCTTCGTAGCCGTTCTGCTCGGCGTTTAAGTCCTCCACTAAGTTATATGGCATCGCCTTCTGCAAAGGAGGGGGTTCTACAAAGCACATGACGCTCGGCTTATCTTGCCGTTTTCGAGGACAGCTTTTTGTTTCATGTCCCTCTCGTTGGCATGTTGTACAAAACGGAATTTTATGCCTGAATCCACTTCGACACTGTGGAGCCTTATGACCTACGCGCCCACACAAAAAACACTTTGGCCTCATAGGCGGTGGCTGATCTCCGTGATTTCTACTTGGTGAAAATGCGCTCGTCTTCGTGTCGTCCTCAAGAGAGGAAAGGCTTCTCAATTTCTGCGCTTCAAGAAAGCGATCCGCAGTCTCCACCATCGACGCAAGCGTCTGACAATTCCTTTCCTTCAGGAAGGTGGCTACCCTCGCGTGACATTGCGAAATAAATTGCTCTTCCAGCACCCTATCCCGAAGGGCTTCATAGGTAGCAGGAGTCTCGCCGACCTCCATCCACCGGTCGAAATACCCCTGCAGCCGAGCTGCGTACTGTCTAGCTGTCTCTCCCTCCTCGGGCTTAGATTTTCGGAACTTTTCCCGGTAACCCTCCGTTGTGAATCTAAACCTCTCGAGAAGCGCTTTCTTAGTCGCTTCATAGTTCATAGAATCCTGGGGCGATAGTCTCCCATACACCTTGAGTGCTTCCCCAGTAAGACACATACTCAGTGCTGTTGCCCATTTAAGTAGTGGCCACTCCTCCCCGCGGGCAATGCACTCGAATCTTTTAAGGTACGCATCGAGATCGTCCCTCCGGTCATCAAATGGGGGAATCAGCTTGCGAGGGCAAAGACTATTCGAGCTAACTCTCTCGCCACCGTTTCCATTCGAATCGGTTACCGCGGTTGCAGACGCTCCGCTCTCGGCTAATCTTATGCGAAGCTGAAGTGTTCGTTCCTCAATCTCCGCCCTTTCTCTCAAGGCAACTCTTTCGACAGCTCTTTCCTCTCTCTCCAGGTCCTTTTCTTTTCGTTCTCGGGCTTGCTGTTCTTCAACCCATTTCCTCAGGCCCTCTCCCTGCAACCCCAGTTGTTTTCCGACGTCAAGCATCTCTCTGTAGTCCATTTTCTACTGACGTCTGACCAGTTCACGGAATACTTGTAAGACACAAGCTGCCCAAGTTCAATAGGTCTCGTCCTGTCGCGGACGCCAATATTTGTCACGAGGTACGCAAGGCTCGTTCAAATAATCATTTATGTAAAGAAAAAGAATACGAGACCCAATTGAATCCAGGCAATTTGTATTGAGAAGAAAATGAAAAAGGGTGTCTAATAAAAAAGGAACATGAAGATAAACCGAATTGAGGGATATGTACACAAGGCAATATTCACTTGAGTTCCGGTCTTTTCCGTTGGCGGAAGATGCTCAAGGGGTTGCGGATGTAGTTGCCGGGTTCTGGATCGTGGTTACCAAGTTCTCGATGATGGTAACGGGAGCCTGGATTCCGGACGCCGAAATTCCCAATGGCGATCGCTGGGCTAACCCGGACCTGGTCGGCACCACGCTGATGGATGCTTTGGCCACGGCGAAGGGATCTCGGGATCGGGTTTCTTAGTGTCCTCTCACCGACTGAGCTCCGGCAGCCTTCCTGTTGCCTTGCTTCAGCCCGCAACTCGCTGACTGGTTCTGGTTTGGGTCATGGCACCCAAGCGCCCAGGCCCGGCAGTTCGTCGCGATGGCTGCACTCCGACGACCGTTCGACGATCTCTTCCACTTCTTTTTTCTTTTTTCTCCCCCCTCGCGCAGCTCTCAGCTTTTTCTTCTTCTTTCGTGAATCGACCATGACACTCCCCAATGGCGCGTCCGAATTTGGCCGCCGCTGTCGCGTTCGAAGGCGATATTCGGAAGTTGACGTACGTCTGCCGTTGCTGGCTTCAGACACCGCGTTCGCGTGTTCCTCCATAAAGAAGACGCTTCGTTGCCATGGTGACGCTGACCATAGCAGACGGAGGACTGTCGTGAGGAAGGGGACGGCGGGCGGAGTGGTGAGATCAAATGCTTACTTGGGTTATATCGTAGTACTTTTCGATGGGCGGAACGTGAACAGAAGAAGTTCGAAATAAGTACTTACCGCAGGTAGCTGACGTTCCTTAGCGTCTAATATATTGACGAGCCTTACACGAAAAATAGGATTTTACCTCGCAATGTGGATGAAGCATTTTTGTACTGAAAGTAAGGGATAAACTAATGTGGAGAGCAAGTCGTCTGCTTCTTCCGCAGGGGTTGCGGTAACGTCAGAACGACGCCGAGCTCTTATTGGCTTTGACTGGGGGAGATTGGGTAGACCTCAATGCTAGATGTCTCAAAATCTACCCACTATTTTTTTTTTTTCAATCGGTCAATAAGAGCTTGGCGTTCAGACAGCATTGCAGCCCTTGTGCAAGAAGCAGACGAACTTGCGCTCCGCATAGTCACCGACAGTTTAAGAAACTCAGGGTGTGGTGAGTTCTGGGCCTCTAAATTCGTCAAACACAAGCTTTGATCCGCAGTTGACGGAGCGCGCCGATTGGCCAATCACGACGATGACTTCGCGCTTTTTTCGCCGACGTTCAATCGGCGCGCTCCACGAACTTTCGGCACCAACTTTCTGTCTGGCGAGTTTAGGGCCCCAGGTCATCTTCTTACATGGATCTGCAGTCAATATAAAAATGCAAAACGAATCGCGAAGCAAGAAGTGTGAACGTATCAAGTCACGCCCTGCGTTTCTGAAGCTGTCAGTGGCCCGTAATCATTATGGCGAGATGACACCACAGTGACCATTTTCTGACATTCCTTCCTTCTCTCCTCCCGTTCTGCGCCCAGCCCATTCACGAGTTGGACCTTCGAAACCAGAGAAAGTATGGAAAGCTCTTCGGGTAGGTATTACACCCGTCCAAAATGCAAAGATGTATACCCACCCTCTTCCCTCTCAACGTATCTTAATTACCCGCGAGAATACTGGTTACAGCGCTTTCGAAGGTTCGTCGCCGACCCTTATTGTGTCTGATCCGGAGATTGTGAAGCAGGTGCTCGTCAAAGATTTTTCTCATCTCGCCAACAGACGAGTAAGTGCCAAACCTGTTCCCTCTTTTTCCGTAACAGTAATTGTTGTTCTCAGTTCTAGTATCTCTTGATATGAGAAATTCAACCAGTTTTGAAAAAGCAAATTCAATTTCTCAAATCTGAGATGACTTCGTCGGCCTGAAATTTGCATTTTATCTATTTGTTTCTTCCCTCCTTCCTCTCTTCTTAGTTACTTTTTCTTTCCTCGATTTTCCCGCCTTTAATGGGTTGCTCGCTTTTGGAATTTCCATATGTCCGTTGTTAGTTGAAAGTTGCGGTTGCGTCATATTTGTCCTACATGTTTATTATTTCTTCAATCCTGACCCGCACCAACACGCTCTTCTTCCATCAATGCTGTCGGACCTCAAGAGAAATGGAGTAGTAGACTTTTAGTGTGAGACAATTTAAAGTTTTAACTTTCCCAACTGCAGTCTGGAGCGAAAAAACAAACAATCAACTAACTGTCAAGACCTACAAAAATACGTTTAAATTAAAAGAGGAATTGGAAACGAAATCGATCGTTTCAATTTACAATATTTTTTTTTTTTTTTTTGAGACAACGATGATTTATAGCGCGCAAGCGACCATTCACTTTGTGCCGCGCGGAGAAGAAGGGGGAGGTGGATAAGCGGGAATCAAGCAGCTTACACTACTCCCCATAGCGGGTTGGAACTACGTGTTAGTACCTCCATTGGAAATTGAGAGGTCCCTGGTTCGATATCAGAACCATATGAATTTTTTCGGTAGCGGACCGGTCACCTAGCTGTATTTGGAGACATGTGTTTGTGCTCTGTCTCCCTTGTTCACCTCCTCCAGGAATTATTATTGTCATTCTTGTCCAGCTCGCTTGCACCTTTGCATTGATTGCATTCTCATTATAACCTAGAAATGCAGGCCGTTCACCCTTGTTGATGTTAGACTGGTGGCAGCTGATGAAACCCGTTTGCTCTACTGACGTCTAACTCCTGGTTAGTTCAGTTGGTAGAGTGCTCCACTGAAAATAGAGAGGTTTCTGGTTCGATAACTGGATCAGGCGGGTTTTGTCGGTTGCGCACCAGTCACCTAGTTGTGTTTGGAGATATGTATTTGTCCTTTGTCCCCCTTGTTCCCCTTCTCCGTGAAATATTACCGCTGCAATCATTTTCAATGAAATTTTTGGATGCATATTTTTAACAGCTCCTTACTTTTAACGATGATATTCTGAACAACATGATGAGCCTCGCCACCGTGGAACGCTGGAGGAGGATTCGGCCTGCTGTTAGCCCCGCGTTTTCCACCGGGAAGTTGCGCAAGGTAAGTCATATTCGGTAGAAAAAAATGTTGCGGGCAGCTCTATGCAGAACGCGAGTTCGTCTGCTTTATTTGCAGCGGTTGTGTTGACGTCAGAAGGCCCAACTCTGATTGGCTCTCATTGAAGGATAGTGGCTAGACCTCAGGGCAGCTTGCTTTCAGGTCTACCTACTATCCTTCAATCGGAGCCAATCAGAGCTCAGCGTCTTTCTGACGTCACCCCCCCCCCCCCCCCCCCCCCGCAAAATAAGCAGACGAACTTGCGTTCCGCATAGCAACCGATAGCTCAAGGAACGAAGGGCGTGGCTCATTATGTTCCTTGCAGTCTGATTGGTTGTTCGGCGTTCTTATCGGCGAATGTCGCAATCTGATTGGCTGCTGACCGATAATGAGGTGGGCGCTGGGTTCGGCATGCCTTGCGTTCCTGAAGCTGTCAGTAACCGTAGCTAGACTTTGTTGATCGGCTCATCACTGTTCGACACGTTGCGAAGCGGCTCTAAAATGAAATCTCTCCGGTTCACCAAGATATAACTGTTCGGCTCCGGTTCGCCACTTTGATTATGATCATGTTTCATTCATGTTATGACTCATGTACCCGATTCCCTTCACCGTGTTTAGTTTGACCGGTCCGATACCCGAACGCTCTGTAAAGCGGCGGTCACTCTGTCCTTGCATAGGGTTCCGTGCTTTCTCTGAAAACCGATAAACCCAAAATTGTTTTATTGAATTTGGGAAAAACAGGAAAACTCCTAATTGAAGCCAATTCCTTTCCGAGAAAAAACCCAAGTTTCCCGTACAAAAAAATATTAACTACTATTTTGTTTCAACTAAACTCTGAACACTGAACTGTCCGCGAGTCTACTTTTTCTTTCAAAAAAAAGACCCCTTATTTGGTTTCCTGCTTCTCTTCGTAACGGGAATTTTTTTTTTCTTTTTTTTTTTGTAAGTATTCAGGTCACGAGGGTATTCTCTGGTGGCTGGGAAATTCGGGATAAGGACAATTCGTCACATGCCGATTGGCCATGGGACATCTGGTAAAAGGACTATTCGTCACAGCGGAACATTCGTCATAGGATGATTCGTTCACCGGACGATTGGTCGGAGCGAGTGTTCCGGGAGGTTTTCAACCGTCATTTTAAGCAACTGACTAGGTTCGCTGGAGTGCAGTAATACTAATATGAATCTATTGTTCGTTGTATGCTGTACGTCGAGCGATATGTGCATTCTGACTCAAAGACCAACGTATGTAAGTGCATATATTCCAGGAAGGAAGCGAAAAAGGTTTGTTTAGTGCGCCGTGCATAGGAGCATGAAATGTTTGTATTGTATGTTGCAAAGAAGCCTTGATGGAACAATTTTATTAAACAAAATAAAAAAATAAGGACCTTGCAGGCCGCAAGCGGTCTCAGACAGTCCATCCGGCGGGTACTGCTGTAGTTTTCCACGATGAATCGCATGCGCTTTCTTCAGTCCGAGTGCTTTTCTTTTTTTCTTTTTTAGACTTTTGTAAAAAACGTCGGTCGGCCTTAAGCCTACGCAATATTCACCTCGGTCAAAGACTGCTCCTTCTTCACGCAGTACGAGAAAAACCAGAGGTTTGACGATGTACAGCCCATGTTCCTCTAAAAAGAAAAAAAAAAGTCGCAACAAACCTAAATATTTAAAAATATAAAACTTTGGCATGTAAGAGAAGAATGGCACAATGAAACTAGAAGTAGGTTTTCCCGGTTCGACTACCTGTTGGTTGTATTTTTTTTTCGGTGTTTTTATTTTGCCACCGGTGTTATGGAGGTGGCAAAGAATTAGGCTATCTGGTACACACGGGGATCAATATAATTTCCCCCAGGCCCAAAAACTTGAGTATGCATAGCCCTATAAGACAATTTAGAACCCCATATTCCGATGCAAACAGCATATCACGCCTTCGCTTCTGTCCTTTTTTGTTAATGGGGTACCCAGCATTATGTAAGCATGACGAGTTGCATTATTCTACAATAACCATTGTCACGTATGCGTATATCTGATGCGTAACACCTTCTTGCCCGACTTTAGAAAACTTAACTGAAAACCTTTGTGCCACGCCTAGACGCTGTTGATTGTTCTCGGCATGTCCTCCAAAGTGGACTCCCTGACGGGCCACACCTCCGGCAGAAAGAGTGCGGAACACAGACCATTCCGTCGGGGTCGGCCGACGTTGGAGTCTTCAAAATAGTTCGCCACTGGAACTGCCTCCACTGGGATGACCTCCATTAAATCTCGAAATGCTTTTGAGATTTCAGCGGTCAGAAGAAATGAACATTCTCATCTGAAAAAATGAAAAGAAGAATATTGTTATATTGGGATTGACATAAAAGAGCCTTATATCATATTCACAGAGGTCTAGGTCATTCGCCACCAATGCAAAGTCCTCTTGTGTGTTGTACGTAATCTGCATGCCGGAAGCGCTGACCCTCCGGTACACCGATTGGTTCAGATAAAAAAAAAAAAACATTTTGAATCCTGGAGCTAAGTATGCAATTTTGGACGGCGTTCATAGCTGCGATTTCGAAATACGAGTACACGACTTCAGTGATGAGGGGACCGATGGCGTTGAGAAGAGCAGCAAAAAACTTGGCAGAACAATGGAGGAACAAATAATTCTAGCACAAAATTATTTAAAGTAATTATTTACTACCTCGCCCATTTGTTCAAACTGCAGTAGGAGAAACGATGCTACTGGTGACTGTAAAAATACGAGTAATAGACATCTGACTCGCTTGGTAGCAGCCCGTACGCCATTGGCATTACCACTCCATGAAGAACAGCGTGCACGGTGTACAGCTAGTAGAATAGGGGTGGCGTCACCTCAAAGGTGCCGTCTACTATCAACACGGTAGACTGAGTCAAGTGGTGCAAGTTCTCGGTTGCGAAGATGAGGATCCTTGCTGAGTAGCCGTCTCCACTATCATGCAGGAGAGAGGATTCGTTTTTATATGTCGCCTGCAATGAGATGCAAAAAGCATTAAGAAAAATCCACGCCACCATCGATCACCGCGGCATTACATTCAACTCCACGGGAACTCGGATGTCCCCTCTGGTGGACGGTATACACTGTAGCTGGATGTCGCGCGCTGCCTTTGTTCCTTATGACTCGCCACAGTGACGACGGGGCAGGCACCTATGAAGCGGTGTTTTCACTGATGGCAGATGCGGCGTCTAAAATAATTTGCTGCAGAGTTTTGCGGCTCCCCACAGTGACGAGAATTTTTTTTAGAAAACCTAATGCTTTAAAACTAGAGGTAAAAACGTTGTTGTTGTTGTAGTTGTTGCTGTTGCTGTTGTTGTTGCTGTTGTAGTTTTTGACACACGATTTTTTTTTTCTATTTTTAGTCCGAGGACGGGTCTTGAGCAGGCGGAGTTTCGTCGTGTCCCCCGCATGCTTGTGGCTGCTTGAAATGGCGATGATTCGACTGACATCCGGATTTGTTGTAATTTCCGCCTTGGACTCACCTTTTCTGCGACATATCCAGTGGCACGTTGACTCGTTCCTTCAGCTGCACGTATACGAAAATCAGCCATGAAGTAGCATCGCTCCACTTCTCGCCTGCTTTCACTTCCTTTTTTTCGAATTGAAGCCAGAGACCCAAACATTTGCTTCACATCCTTGACCTCGATATGCTCAGCTGACCTTGCGAGAATTCGAACTTTCGGAGGTTGACTCAAATTGGGGGGACGAACTAGCGGTCACAGCCCAATGGGCTGACTGCATCGGGAGGTTGACAAAAATAGGGGGCGAACTAGTTCTCACAGTGTAACGGGTGGCCCAATTGACGAATCATCCCTCGACAAATGTTCCGCCGTGACGAACAGTCCTGTTACAAGATGTCCTATATAACCAATTTGGCATGTGACGAATGGCCCGCTACATCTTATCCTGGAGTAAGATGGAGTAAGTTTTAGAACACGGTCCAGGATGCGAGGGACCTGCAGAACAGATGGACAGCATTGGCAGGCGGCGTGTGACGTCAAGTCTGACGACTACCAATGTCACCGAAAATCGGAGGAAGCGAGGAGGAAAATCGTGATGTTTGCTCGGTAGTGTTTGAACGGACATCAGACTGCCGGACGCTTCAACTTCCACGATTTTTGCCGGAGTCGTGTCGCCTCACGATTTCTGAAGTGTCCTGTTTGGACAGGCCTTTACTCGTCCAGAGACTCAGCCAAAGTATCTCAAGATCCACCCTCGTTCTTTTCTTCAAAATTCAACCTTTCCCTCTCTGACGGACCACACGAGCAATCAGTTCAAAGGTGGCTTTATCACGTGACCGGGACTGAACCAGTCACAATAAAGGCCTCCAGTTACTACTTCAACTTAAAGCTTCCAAAACTTTGCACGTTTCCCTGAATCCGACGCGACATAGAGGCGCCGGATCAGGCACATCATAGTTTCCACGCGATAGACGACAAACATAAGAAAGAAAAAAAAATTCCCGGGGCACTCCCTGCGTTACCTCCTTCTCCTCAAGGTCACACCACTGCCGCTGGTACGCTGGGGCGGCTACAAAGAAACATAAACAAGAGTTGACAAAACAGCGCTTCGGAACTTAACGCTGTTTTTTTTTTTTTCAATTGCAGATGAATGGCCTCATTCAAGATTGTGCGAAGCTCACTTGCGAACACTTGCATAAAGCGGCAGAAAACAATGAAGAGCTGGACATCAAACAGTGAGTATGGACGCTAACTCAGCTACTATCGCGGGTGGCGCAACTCTTATGTGGGCGGAAACTGAGGGAGAGAAGACGAGAGCCTGCGGAGACGTCAGAACGCCGAGCGCTGGTGCCAATGATTAGGGGCTAGACGCAAAGCTGGCTGCCCTTGTCTCCATTGCACCCGTCGAGCGGTTTAAGGCCGACCCACATAGCACGTATTTTCAACATATTTACGCGCGTTTCACCGAGCATAATCACGACATTTGGCGGGCACTTTTTTTCACGCAGAGAAAGAGGAGAATTAAAGATAGAGTGAGTAGACAGGTGAGCTAATTACCTTACAGATTTTTGAAAACCCGGATACTGCTGACGAAAAAGGGGACACACACGAAACGTCTCCGACGCAGCAGCTACTAAACTCTATAGGCGATTTGCTATTTTCCCAATCGCCCCGCCCGCGCGCGAGGAATTGTGGGAGAGACTGTGCCACGCCTGGCCGCTCTGCCTTGAGATCGCAATGCCCTGTCACTTGCCTCCTCTTAATCCTCTGTTTTTTTATTCTATTACCTATTTTTATCTGTTCAGCGCATACAAGCCGCGACGTTGGGCCACCGGCGCTTGCGAAGGGCTCGCGCCGCTGCGCGCAGTTGTGAGGCGCCGCAGCGTTGCATGTGCCTCAGCTTCGCAAACATTCGGACAAATGGTTCGCGGTGACAAAGCGGCGTGCTGTATCTTGGTCAAGTAAGCGGCACTCGAAGGCATACGCTGCAGTGCGAGTCAGCGGAGCGAGCGCTGGCAGCCAAATCACGGTGCACTCGGCTCCCGCGTCGCGATTCTTGATTCAGAGCTCTGCTTACCCCTATGACATGTGCGCGGGTGTTCTTAAACGGCTCCTCTCGACTGCACGAGGGTCGAATTGAACCAAAATGAACAGCTAACAGCGCGATAAGAATCGGTAGCAACGGTAGTATTCACCTGGGGAACGACGCGCGAAGCGGCGTGTTGTCCGTCGGTACTCCCGTCGAGAAAGGTAAAATAAAGACACAAATAAAATAAATATACAAGAAATATCACGTGTAGAAGACAATAGAAGCACTTAGAAGCAATAAAAAAAATACACGTAAACAGATTAAAACAGGTAAGGGAATCAAAAAACAGAGGATTAAGAGGAGGCAAGCAACAAGGCAATGCGATCTCAAGGCAGAGCGGCCAGGCGAGGGGCAGTCTCTCCCACAACTCCTCGCACGCGGGCCGGGGAGCTTGGGGGATTTCACAAAAGGTCTGTTGGCACAATCGTACATATACCACCTCCTACACACGACTCTCGGCAAATTTTGACACGTCCCCGTGACGTCGGGGTACATCTCGTTTTGACCTCCGTTAAAACGAAACCTTAACTCGTAGAAAGCAATGCGAACCTCCCCCCCCCCCCCCCCCCCCCCCTCACACATAAAGTATCTCCTTCGCAACACCTGATGACGAAGTTGTGGGGATCAGATGGATGGCGTGGCCAACAACGAGATCTGTAGGGTTTCGTCATCAAGCTTTGCGATCCCCACGGGGACGATATTTAAATCCGGCTTATACAGTGGACACAAGCACTGCGCGGGCGTTCGATTTGGGCTCGTGGAAATCAATGGCTCGACATACCTTCGCGTAGTGTCTCGTGCCCAATCCCTGCGATGAGGGAAATAACCGAACCTTAACAATCTGTGGAACTGCAGCCTGTGTCCAGTGCCTTACCAACGCCGAGCGCGTCGCTGTCATAGAAACTGGCAGCATATAATCGGCTCCAGATCACGAGGCCGCTTGTTCCGGTTCCGAGTTAAGGAGTGAACGCTGCTCATTCTTATTTAATTATTTTCTGCGACTTCCTTTCCGTAGGTAAAGAAACTAACCTGTGTTCCGTAAGTTAGGGATGTTAAGAAACAATTGTAAGCGGTATTTACTGAAAGTACAGAAATTGTTACAGGGCCCCTTAAGTGTTATACCTTATTTGTTGTTTAGGTTCTTCGGCCATTACACACTGGACGTCATCGGCAGGTGCGCGTTTGGAACTAAAGTTGACTCGCATTCCAATCAGACGAATGAATTTGTAACGAAAGCCAGGAAGGCGTTCACGACTACAATTAATCCACTTCTGCTGGTTATAAGTAAGTATGGCCAACAAAAACAGTATTTGGATTTCAAAGTTAATTCATGAGCTCTCCGTTTACATTTCAGTTGTTCTTTCAAACCTGTTTCCGTCACTGTTCAAAGTGCTCAGCCCGAAATTTTTTCCGACGGAGATCTTTGTTTACTTCAAGGATATATGCGTAAGCATTATCGAAAAGCGAAAAGAAGCTAATATCGTAAGTACATGTTCACACATTATATAATGTTATGATCGCTCTCTGTCTGTCGCAAAAACAATATACGGAGCCTAAAACCTGGCGTTGGTTTCAGAGTATATCCTCAATTTCTAAAGGATTTTTAAAATTGTTTAAATGCATTCTAATATTCTATTATGTATATTACCACGCTATTGCTTCGTAAACATTTCAGAAGCATCAGGACTTTCTCCAGCTCATGGTAGATGCCCAAGAGTCGGGTATCGCGGAAGTCGGCAGCGACGGTGTCCAAGACATGGAGAACAGTCTCTACAACCTTGGGAGCGAGCAGAAGTCGGAGACCTCGTTCATCACAAAATGTTCGTTTACATTTTGTTTGACTACACGCACGCTGCTTTACAAACGTTCGATTTGCGGGTAGACGCAAAGCTAGCTGCCTACTGTGTCTCTGTCCACGCTTTAAACGTGTTCTAAGAATTCGCCGATGGCTTGCTAAATTCAACCGTGCCGTGATCCGCCACTTTCAGCCCTGACACAAGACGAAGCCCTGTCGCAGTGTGTGTTGTTCTTCACGGCGGGTTTCGAAACAACGTCGACCACGATCGCCTTCGCCGTGTATCAGCTGGCTTTGTGCCCCGACATTCAAGACAGGCTGAGACAAGAAGTCGACGACTGTTTCGCAAAACATGTGAGTTCACCCAACACCTCCTAGAAGTCAAATAATGCGCGTTACGTCGTCGTTAGTTAAACTCCCCGAACCTCACCATGCGGCAGACAGGTCTTTTGGACGGCACACGGCAGACGCTTGTGTCTTTGCATCGCCGCGTGCTAGGGTACTCATCTCTACAAACAATTTCTTGAATCGCGCATCCCCACTTGGTCGCTGCAGCGCAAGTACGGCCACCGGACGGCCATCTTGCATGTACCTAAGTCAAACTTTTGGAGCGTTGCGGAGGCTGGGCGGCAGCGTCCTGAAGAGACGTTTTCTGCTCGTTGGTCGTCCTTCGCCGTATAAGCTTTTTTTTTTTTTAACCTCGTGTAGTCGGTCATAGTTCCCTTTGAGAAAAGGTGGAGATTTTAATAAAATCGCAGCACCTCAGGAAAAAGCCGCAACTCGTTGAACCCAAGTCTCGCCGGTCTCGCAGCTTGATCAAAGCTTCCTTGGCACGGCGAAGTTCTGCGTCTTTGTGCCTTCGCAAAATCGACGTCGTGTGGATGTGTTTCGCGAGTTCAACGTGCGTGAAAGCGTATGCGAGTCTGGACCAGGGTTTTACTTTATTCTGGCGACTGCATTTATAACTCCGGCACTCGCGGTCCAGAAACAAGCTTGATCCGGTGGCGACGGAAGAGGGGGATGGGGATACGGCGGCGGTAACGAGGACAGATTGCACACGACCCCCCTCCTCTCCTCCCCCCCCCCCCCCCCCCCCCCCATATGGGCCGCGATTCAAGATATTTTCGATTTCGCCATTTCCTACTTTTAAACTCGAAAACGAACCTTGCTTCCCAGAGTTGCTCTAATTGTGCTGCCATGGGACCCATTCTAGGAGATTTGTAACATAGCCGTGGTTAATAGTGCATAATAGCAAACTGTTTGTTTTTTCCTTTATTGATAGCAACTCATCGGAACAGCTGGACGATTCAGAACTCCGTGGCCGATATATTTTGCAGGCGCACCTACGCGCGACACACCTTCAAACATTTTTCACAGCATCGATTTTTGATTGGTATCCAAGCGTACGAAAGCACAGAGACGCAACACTTCGGCGTGCCAAGAAAGCTTTGATCACGCCTCGAGACCTGCAGTCACCGAATTGTGCCTTTCTCCTGCGGCGCTGAGCTTTCGCAAAAATTTCCACGTGTTGTCTCAAAGGCAACTATGATCGTTTCCAAATGATATAAAATCAAAACTCCTTAGGCGAATGACGGCGAACGAGCAGAAAACGTGTCTTCAGCAGGATGCCGCCCAGCCTATGCAACGCTCCAAAAAATCGACTTTGCCACATGCAAGATGGCCGTCCGAGCGCAATACCAACCAAAAACCTAAGGCCCGTGCATGGTGTTATCTTTATTGGATCTCTGACCTACCCCAAGCGTTAAACGTGCTGAATTGCTCGACGAGAGTTACCGCAAAGCGGCGGAATCGTCCGTACTGGCGTCTCCGCGTGGTAGCGTCGCGGTCCTTGTGAAACGCTGCAAGACACTCAGCGGCGGCGACGCTGACGCCAGCTATGCGGCGCTGTGTGGACCTATTAGGGATGGCGTTTTCTGGGGGAAAATGCGCGGTTCTTGTCTTATAGGCGGTGTTGGTTCACCATTCCCTTGCTCCGCGTGTGCTCGCAACCCCAGAAGACGCGACGCCCGCCAGCGGAAAACACGCGAAGGAGTGTGCAGTGCCGTTACCGTCTACGCAAGTGTGGAGCGAGAACTGACGCGGCTCGGTGGCCAAAATGTGTTTCACCAGTCTAGCGAAGCCAAGGGGATTAAATGTATACGCCATTGGAGCTGCGAAGAAAGTTTCAGTTCCAAATCGCTACGATATAGTTTATGCTGTCACACTCCCTGTCCTTATTGTCTAATATATTTTGTAAATAAAAAAAAATCATCCTAATGTTGCTGCTCTCGATATACTTATCGTATTGCCGCGCGCGCAGCTAGCCAACTAAGCGGCCCGCCCGTGGCCGAATGGTTAGCGTGCTTGGCTCCACGCAAGGCGCCGAGGTTCGATACCTGGGAGCGGACACACCTTTATGTTATTTCAGTAAATGTCGCGTTGCGGTGTATTCGAGAACTCTGTTGCTTATTCGAGCTTCGAATGTTCTACGCACCGAACCTTCAATAGTCCGATGCAACTCAAGAAGGTAGGGCGAAGGGAAGGAAAGCCGGGGAGGAGGAAGCAGACGAAACGCTAAAGAGAGGATGAGGTTTCCCCCCTACTCCCCAGCGTTCCGTCTGCTTTCCGCCTGCCCGGCCTTCCTTTCCCTCGCCCTACCTTCTTGAGTTCAGTGGACTATGGTCCGATATCTCCAGAGGCCCACGCGTGTAAGGGGCCCCGCGTGGCAATCCCGAGGCAGTCTCGCTCTTGCGCTCGTTCATGCTACTCTGCCGACCCTCAACGCCTGTGACGCTCCCTCTTTGTATCGAACCTCGGCCCTTTGCGTAGGAGTCAAGTACGATAATTATTCGGCCACGGGCGTGACTTTGCTAGCTGCGAGCGCGCTAGCTGCCGATACTTGGCTAGCAGCGCGCGCAATATACCATTTAGACAGCAAGACGTGCTGTCTAGATGGTGTTAATATAGAGCGCTGAAACGTTGGTTATACTATCTTCTGCTCTTTTAATGCCATAAGAATGCCGCCGTCAAATTTCGCTGCCTGCATTTAACATTGACCACTGATATTAAGCACAAAATATAAGAATGATGTTTTCTTCCTGTTACAATAGCGGTGGAAACCGAGAACAAACCTATTCAAAACAACTTTGAGGGTCGTCTGCAGTGAAATTTTCAAAATCCTGATATTTCGGCAGCTCAGTACAGCATTATGTAACCCAATAAAATATTTTGTAAAAACAAAAAAGGAAAGTTTCTACTCATCAGTTTACTGTGAACTAAGAGAGTCGGTAGTTTCAAATTTGTTTCTTTTCATTAATTTAATATTTCACAACTACGAGTTGTGAAATAAGCTAATAGCATAAAATAAAATAAGCATAAACAAGCATATACGAGTTTCACAACTCGTATATGCTTGTTTTCAGCATGCAATCTAGATTATAATACCAGTTGGAAGCGTAACATATAAAATCAAATAAGAATTACCCTGAAAGAGCATAATGCAGGCATATCTCATTATTAAGAAGAAAAGAACAGCTTGTGTTTAGGTCTTATAATGTTTTTCATTCATCTCCTTCTACAGGGTCCAGAACCAAGCCTTGACGCCGTCTCCAAGCTCGAATACCTACACTGCGTTGTGTCAGAAACACTGCGCATGTATCCGCCAGCGCCGAGGTAATTTTTTCTCTTCTTTATGCAGTCCAGTTTAACCGCCTAACGCCACTATCGTTCTTTCGAAAACAAAGTAAGCAAGTAGGCGAGCGGGTTTCGGTCGCATTTCTTTGAAACCGGATTTCAGACGCGTCTCATCTCATCCTCTTCTCCCATCCGTCGTCTCCGGCTTCAAATGTGCATGTCATCGGTCTTGCTTATTTGTATCGTATTGTAGGCTCAATGATGTCACTATAGACACTGACAGAGTGAAAACGACATGCATGTCCTTCAAACACCTGGCCTCCACTACGCGCGCCATGCCTTCCACTGTGCTTTGACATTGCGCGCGCGCTTGATGTGCACGAGACGTTGAAGCGTTTTCGAGGGGGAGACTCAGCTTGAGAGAAACAAGTGGAGCTCTTCCTTGTTGTTCTCACCTTGTCAGTGACATTAGAGTTATCATAATGCACGCTATGCTTTCGAAAATGACAAAAGTTTTGGATTCCATCTCTTCCACAAAGGAATCTGACCAAATATTTTTTTTTCGAGAGACGTAATTGTATTTATGATTATTTGCAGCTGTGCCCATGCTATCACATATTCTGGGTAATAGAAGAAAAAAAATTATAGCCCGTTCAGAATACCGATTGAGACTGCCGCACCGCTAAACGCAATATTAAGTAGAATGACAAATAGTTTGTGCTTTGACATCTCTGTAGACACTCCGAGAATATAGAAATGCAATTAAAAAATTAAAACTGCGTCTGTGCCGACCGTAAGAGGAGTTCGCCTCCTCCTTCATGCTGCTCTTTGCGCTTTTTAGTGTCTGTGAGAGCTCAACAAACCCAGGACGTGGCGAGTCACGATGATATAATGCAATTAAGTGCAAATGTGCAAACGACTTGGACAAGAATGACGAAAATAAGCTTTGGAGAAGGCGGACAAAGGACAAACACAGCGTTTGGAGATTTATGTTTGTCCTTTGTCCCCCTTATTTTCGTCATGAGCCTTTTTAATATCGTTCCTCGACCAATGAAATTGCTGCACCTGCCGATAAGGATGCCGAAGAACGAATTGCAGAGCTAAGAGTGTAAACATAATAGATCCCACTCTGCGTTTCTCAAACCGTCGGTGACTACTAGCGAATAGACCACTTCCTATGTTCCCAAGTGTCCCGACCCGAACTCTAGGAATCATGGGAACGGTCCCCAGTGATTACACGGCTTTTCGGCGTAATTCGGAGTCACCTTGAACATGCTCCTGATATACCTTAGGGACCTGTCATATCACTTTTTCAAATGTTTCGTCAATGCCAGCATTCTTGATATATTGCGTCCGATCCACCTTTCAACCTGGTTGAGCTGCAGAAATCTCTTACATTATTATCATTCTCGTCATTGTTGTTTGAGCGAAAATGGCTTAAAAAGCCGATAATTCACAACACCAAAAAACCAGGATTTAGCTGGGAGTCAGCGGGGCTGTTTATAGCATTTTTAGCGTTTCTAATTCAATACCGGCGTCTTTGAAGTTGTACGAGAATGATAGTAATGTAAGAGATTTCTGCAGCTCATCCCGTTGAAGGCTGGACAGCATGCACAGCATCCAAAAGAAAAACGACATTGAGGACAAATTTTTAAAGCGATATGACAGGTCCTGGGGTATATCAGGCGCTTGTTCAGGTGACTCCGAATTACGCTCAGAAACTCTGTGACCATGCATTGGGTCGAAACTACCGATTACTAAAGAGCTGAAGGAACACCGTTCTCATGATTCCTCTATTGCGGGCCGGGGCGCTTGGGGTATATCGCAAATGGTCTATTGCGCTACCAAAGGATCGCTGTAGGCGAAATCCGCGATTGGCCAACCGCTCTGCGCGTGCCGTCTTTATACAATTTATTTTTTCTCCCATCGACGGAAATCAGCGCAGTGTCAGGATGTCAGCTGTCACGATGTTGGCTTAAAGGCCGACGTACGCTTCGCGCTTCCCACTTTTGCCCGCCTCCTCCTTTCCGATATGCTCTCCACGTTTCCCCTTGCCCTAACTTGGCTCCCCTCGCAGCTTAGGAGAGGGGACCGCTAAGAGGATTATCTTCCCTGCAGAAAACTGATGATGGTACGTCGGCCTTTAAAGGGGCACTGACACCCCAAAGGTCGTATTATTTTTTATTGTCTAAAACGATGCAAGTTATAGTCATAGACACGCAAAAACAAAAACAAAAAAAAACGCATCGCGAAAAAAAATTTCCCCTCGCGCGCGCGTGCCTTTTTATTTCTGGCGTTTATATCTCCCGTGCTCACCTCCTTGGTTCTTTTGATCGGTGACGTCAAAAATCAGGAAATTTAGAAGCTTTGTAGGCGACATTTCTATAACATTTAATAACGGCAGTCGTAAAAAAGGTTTTTAACGCAATTGCAAACGCACTACGGCCCCTCTTTTTGAATTACCAAAAATCAAATTTCGCTGTGATGTCGCTCGGAAAACTTGGCGGCGCTCGAGCAGTGGCTTATCGGCGAGACGGGGAAGAAACCGTTTTTTTCCCGTGCCGGCGCCCTTTTATCCCGCCTGGCCACGTCCGCCTCGCTTCGGGTCGCAGTGGCAACGGAGGTCCCAAAGAAAGTCGAGTCCCAGGAGACCGCAAAATTTGACTCACTGCACTGGCGCGGATTACGCGGAAACTTCAAATTTGGCATTTGGAAATTGTTTTTCTTTTAATTCAGAAATATTGAATTTCCAAGTTTCGAATTTTGAGAGCAATGTCCCGGCATCGTTTTCAATCGTTTCGGATAATAAAAAAAATATGATTTTGATGGTGTCAGTGCCCCTTTAAGAATAAAATGACTCCAAACTTCCATTTGTTTTTATCCATATCATCGAACTTGCAAGTGACGATAAGTGGTAAAAAATTGCAACTCATGACATCACGGCCAGAAAAATTCTGGTCGTTTTACATCACATAAGTCAACAACAAGTGTTCCTTTTTTTTTTCAAGGTTTGTTTTATGTTTTGGTAAGGAAACTGCAGCCGTGCTGCCTTCGTGTCTTCTGCAAACGAACCGCATGAAACTACAGTCTGTTGTAAAATTCTCAAAGTCTGCTACACAGTCGGCCATTCGAAAACACACGCTACGGTTTCCAACAAGAATTTAAAACAAAAATTCAAAATGAGTCACACCATGGTGGAAGAACAGAAAATTCCTGTCGGAACAAGGCCAGTTAAGGCAGCAAAATGTTTGTTCACGCTTCGCGCGTCTCCCAGCAGGGGCACTGTCGGTCTACAAGATGCCAGAGCCATATATGAGAGACGCGCTCCGCGCAGCGCTTAGGAACCCTGCAAGTGGGGATGTCGCTAACCTGCCGAAGTTTGCGGTCCCCGACCAAGTTCGACTTTTTGAAACTCCCAACGCGAAGTCCAACAAAAGGTCGCTTAAAGTTTGACTTTCGTGAGCATGCGCGAAAGTTTCCACCTGGCGGAGGAAAAGTGCCGTATTTCTTAGATGTATTGTTTGACTGGTTCGCATTACCAACCAATGAAATCATTAAATGTATTATAGGCGACGATATAAAAGGGAACAGACTTCCTCGCGTTTTTGATCTACTTGGAACATGTTATGGTCCCGTTGAGGGCTAGGACCGAAAGTTTAGGTCTTAAACTTCATACTGTTTGACAAGCTGGGGCTTAACGAAGGTTGTGAGAGCTGTGAAACTGGAAAGAAGAAAGATTAACTGTTCCCTTTCATACTGTTCCCAATAGTACCTATTCAGGCTTTTATATCATGTAAACATTGGTAATCATTTTATAAAATATAGAATAAATTACTTTCGGTTTTTTTCCCCAATTCAAAATCTTTTTTTGTGTGCAAGCACGCAAGAAAACTTTCGTCACACTTGTTTTATTGCGAGGCTGTGCCGTTAAAACATCTGTCTCTCTTTCCACCGTGCGCGTCAGGAAAGCTACATGTCTCAATTTCACTCGAGTACGTTTGTGTATGTTTCTTGCAGGGTGGACAGAACAACCACCACAGAGTACGTCCTCGAAGGTACAGGCATCCGGCTGTTCAAGGGCTGCGTCGTCGGAATCCCCGTCTACGCGATGCACCACGATCCCCAGAATTTCCCGGATCCCTTTAAGTTTGACCCGGAAAGGTAATAAAAGAAGCGACATAAGCGGGTTCCGGCCTTCGGACTCCGTATTCCGAGTCTGTTTGAACCTCGTTTAACCCTCATGACCCTCGTGGGGGTAACTCTCATAACCCTCGTTACCCTCGTGAAGGTAACCCTCGTGACCCTCGTGAGGGCGTGACCCTCAGAAGGGTTACGAGGGTTACGCGCGGTTACATCGGCGCCGACGCCGCTCAAGCCGGAAACGGGCGCCTAAGAGCTGCGCTCTAAAAGCGCTGCACCATTTCTATGGCTTCGATACTGCAAAGAGCCTGTATGTCATGGCTTTGTTTGCAATGCAAAATTTATGAGTCAGTGCTATTTGAATCGAACCACTGTCCCCCCATCCATATCAGTGATTCGAGACGCGGGCACCGATACGTGCATCGAAGCAAAATACCACTCAATTCCTAAGTGGCTCGTGATTGGATCTGGCGTTCTGTAGCTTTTGCCGTTGGTCCATCGTAGGATTAGACGAAGTATAGACCTTTTCTGCAAGTGCGCCGCCATCTTGAATTGACGTCACTTCCAGTATGGGCGAAAACATTGTTTTGCCTTTGCCACGCCAATAGAAGGCATTTAGGATATAAGCGTAACCGTCACACTTTCCCGTTTTGCCTCCCCTTTATTTTTTTACTATTTGCAGGTTGCAACGTTGGATTATTTTTTTGTCGCCCATACCGGATACGCCTTTTAGGTGGCTGGGGACAAGAGCACACGGAAAAGGTCTATAAGAAGGAACGGGTTGAAGAACGTGGTCAAGTCACGTTTTATCTTGTAGTAGATATGAATCGAAAGCATTAGTTGGAATAGTTGCGTAATGCTAAGAAATTTGCGTGTTGAAAAGGAACAGCGCTATGTGTTTTATGCCCTGCAGGGTCTCAATACAGCGTATTATCTTTAAAAAAATATTATGTTAGTGTTTGTCAAACCAGGAAGAAGTAACCAGTAATGTAGATGCGAATACACGAGTCAACACCATCAAAAGTGCACCTGGGATCTAATTTTTTGTGTATTGGAATAACACTATATCTAGTGCGCTCCAGATTGTTTGGGTTCGTTAGATATTGCTACAAATGTGCTCTTGTGATGATCTACGCGTGTCTTCTTAAGATACTCAATTAATTTATTGTTTGTTTGTATTTAGTTTGGTTTGGTCCCTAAGCCGGATGAATTTCTCCATGGGTTGTTTCCTTCGATAATTTTTTATACAGCTCACAAGTAACCCACAGTTTGCGAGACTTTCTGTGTATCCTTACAGGCCAAAGGGGGAATGCATTAACGGAGCTATGTTTTATTTTACGCATAATATGCAATGGCACAAATTTGGTTCGTCGAGTTTTGCCAGGCCCTGGAAAAAGCCTGTAAAGGCCTTTTACATCGTTTCGAAACAGTTCAACAAGCTGTAGTTTACCGGCGAGAATATTTATTTTTCTGCGTAGGTTTCCGTTTTCACTTTGTGGCAGTCAATGAATTTCTATGTTTTGTCCTCTACTGCATTACTCTATAGCGTTGACTTGTCTCAATTTTGAATGCTCTGGCTAGAGTTGTCAGCCTCGATCTTTTCCACTTTTCGTTTGAGGATAACAACGTGATAAGAGTTTCGCTTCACCTCTTTAGTACCTTGTCATACTGCTCGGAAATATGTTGAACAGATTCTTCCACCTTGCCAACCGTTTCCTTTATCAACATCAAAGCATCTACTTTGCTCTTAATTGTAGGTATTTCTGAAAGTCTTTTTAAAAATTATTTTCTGTTAATATTTATTGAAAGGCAGCCTCTTGGTCGTGATTGTGCCTTCCAGCCCTCACGGCCCCGCGAGCGCTCAAAGTTTCGCATTTTTGACATTTACAATTATTCTTTTCCACATCTACTTTCGCTTTGTAGGTTGTTTTGGAAACGCCCGAACACGAAGCTAAATAATAACCATATATAGTTACACACCGAGCATGCTAGAAACAAGCCATTATCAGCGAGTGACTTATTACAATACAAGAGCAAATCGGATTCAGTCACTACAAAAGCAGAAAGCAGACCAATAGCAAAAGCAACAATGGCTATTACAAAAGCGGGAATAGAAAGCGGGAATAGCCAGCAGTATGAACTATGCCAACCTGGAAATTTCGAAGGCAGAAGTTAGTACCAGGACGCTGTCTCCGCTTCCCTCGCCGCTGAGCAATTGCTCAAATGGAATGGCACACGGTGCGCGTCTCGTTTTGGTTCTCCCTTCGCAGGTTCAGCAATGAAAACATGGGATCCATTCGGCCGTACACGTACTTGCCTTTTGGCGCCGGTCCGAGGAACTGCGTGGGGATGAGGTTCGCCATCCAGATGGTCAAGCTGTGCCTCGCGCACGCCGTGCACAACGTCCGGTTTGTGCGCACGGCCAAGACCCAGGTGTGTGTTACTATGGCTTCTGGTGAAAGTGCCCATCGAGACAAAATGTCTAATCGGGTTGAAATATCCATCGAGACGATATGCCCAATAGGGTAAAAATGTCCACCGAGTCAAAATGTCCATCGGGTCGAAATTACGACCGAGTAAAAATGTCAATCGGGTCCTTTTGTTTTTGTTTACAAGTTTTGGAAACCCGACAAACTATGCACTCTAAAAAACGTCCGTGCGTCTTCTTTCTCACACAACACTCGGAGAGCCAATCACCGCAACTTACAGAGGCAGCTCAGCGAGTGACAATGCAGAAACATATGTTTAGATCAAAAAACGCAGTCCGAGTTGTGATATTAAGCAATCCAAGACGTCACGCTTGCATTGATTAATGTAACAACTCAGACTGCGTTTTTCGGCCTAAACATATGCTTCGGCATCGTCATTCGCTGGGCTGCCTCCGTAAGTTGCGGTGATTGGCTCTCCGAGTGTTATGCTAAAAAGTAGACGCACGGGCCTTTTTTTTTTTTTTTTTTTTTTTTTTTTTAGAGTGTAATTTTAAACAGGGTTCAACTCGAAACCCAGAAAACAAAAGTGACTGAGAGCTGCGAAACCACCAAGTGTGCGAAAAATAAGGGGTCTTTGAAACTGTATCATTCCACATAAACGTTCTATGCCAGCCCTTTCTCGGTGTTTGACCAGTTGACCAAGTCACGAAGTGCCCTATGACGAATTCCCCTATGAGACCAATAGCCCTGCCACGAGTGGCTTTTTTACGAATTGTCTTTTAACAAACGGCCCGCCTCCTTCGGTCCGCAGAGTGCGTTTGTTACAAACGTCGTAATTTGCAGCTCGTTCACTTTCAGCAGTAGTTAGCACGATAATGTTCCAAATTTCAAAATTAGCACAGTGGTGATAAAATAGTTGCCCGTCATTAGGAGCCAGAAAAGTATTTTCGAGTTAGTTCTTTTTTATTAGTATTCACCTATTGGTTGACATTATCTTATCTAAATGACAAAACTTTTACAATAATTCCGTGGCACGTTTAGTTCTATCAAACCACAGGTATGCGACCAATATACAGCTCGTTTGCTACTGTTTTTCTGAGCGCTAACATAATTAAAATTTACTAGAAAGTCAGTTAATGTTGAACACACTGACAAAAGAGACTGTGGTTACTCTAAATGAGAGTTTTTTCGCGAATTCGAAACTTGGTGAATTTCTCCAGCTAATTTTCGAAATTTAGAGTGGTATACGTCATATTCTTTAGGATGAGGTGAATGAATCGCAGGACTAGTTCTTCGTAATTGTATTCAAACTGCTATATTTGTAAAACGAAAGTCAGAGAACGCGCCTTTTTTTTTTTTTTTTTTAATTCGCTCACATCTTTTAGAACTTTTAACACTTTTTCTTTAAACGTTCGGCACCTTGTTCTCAGCACTGTGCAGGTTCTGGGGGAGGTTGAGCGGCCCGTAATATCTTTGTTTTATTTTTTGAAAAGAAAATGCTCTTCTCTCCTAGACATCCGGAACAGCAAAATATGGTTCGTCCCAAAATTAAAAAAAAAAAGTCCCTCAGGTTCGCGCCAGCGGTCAAATTATGACTGTTTGTGCAAGAACACGCGTGTATATAGTTTACATGTGTATACAAGTCGGTATCAACACCAGTGTTAAAATATGAGTGAAGGAGGAGGACCGTCTAAAGCGTGTTTCACATGCAGCGGTTTTGGCCCTAGAGCGGCGCGATTTCTGCCGTCGCGGCGCTCTGGCCAGCACCAGCGGTTGAGCGGCACGAGCGCCGCGACGGCAGAAATCGCGCCGCTTTAGGGCCAAAATCGCTGCATGTGAAACACGCTTAACGAATCAAAACGTCCATCGGGACGAAATGTCCATAGAGTCGAAATGCCCAATATTGGACATTTTGACTCTATGGACATTTTGACCTAAAATTTGTTGGTATTCAGGACAACGAACGCGTTTTCGACTGATGCATTTAGTGTCCTATCCCGCCCATACATTAAATATGGTGCCGAAGTGGCAACAAATGGCGTCGCAGAAACCGGCGTGTCATGGTGTCGGATGTCGCGATCCTGGCGGTTGGAGCTAGAAACTTCCTAGAAAAAAAGTACGAATGGACACGAGTGTCGCTGTCAGCGCGGAGTCACAACACCTGACTGCTGGAGTTTCCGTAGACTCTCAAGCTGGAAAACAACCTGCAGCAGAACAGGCGCCTGCGAAGTACAAGACATTTGCCAAATTTTGTTTTCAAGAACAAAAAAAAAAAAAAACGTTTTTCTTCTTTTTTTTTATGTAGCGTACGTGTAACAAGCGTTACATACATTCCTTTTGTTGTGGTATTCTTCTTGTCTTCCAGTAAGCGATATACAGTTAGCAAGCTTTAGTATTTGACATCTGGTCTTTCTAAACACACCAATCGAGGTATCGACATGAGATCGTAATTTTTATGTTTTAAAAAAACGTTTTGCGCTTTTTGAAGGGAGCGGGTCTCTCTTACTTTCTCATATTTTTGGGCTATTCTAGGGCTTTCATTGACCAGGACACAAATTACCACGCGAAATATTAGTTTACCTAATTAAGGCACTACTTAACCTTCCTCTGGTTTGTTCTGTTTTTCTTGCGTATAGGTACCAATGGTTTTCCAAAGGGGCATCGGCCTGCTCAACGCAGAAGACTGGACAATCGGAATTCGTCAGCGTTGACTCGCAGACGCGACGCAGGCTGTCGCTTACAACTAGATGCCAGTCTCTGGACCGCTCTTCAGCCATCAATCTACTTCTATACTTTTAGAAATGCATGTCCGGTTTCCGATCCGTGTCTGTATCAATAAAAGCCCTCGGAGCATTTAGTTCCACATCATTGACAGGAATGTCTAAATGTTATAGTCCTCGGTTTAGTCACTGGTAGCCTCAGAAACGCTGGGCCGGGCCTATCATAGTCACGCGATTAGTTCTTCGGTGTTCTAATAGGCTGATGCCTTAATCTCATTGGCTCCGGACCGACAAGGAAATGCTAGGACCACGCCACAAACTGCGAAAGCGCGTTCTTGGCGCATCGGAATGCAAGGGCGGGGAGGGGGGGAGGGGGAGGGGCGGGGACGTGGGGGGGCGGGGGGGGGGGGGGGGGGGGAGGGGGCACATTACTGAAAGGTCAACAAAGAGAAGGCTCAAGGAACGCTCGATGACGAGGCAGCGAACTCGTCGACATTGATCGAGGTCGTGGAGAGGGGGGGGGGGGAGGGGGAGAGGGGAAGGGGGAGCAGAAGCACGTATAGCCTCATCAGGGGGTAAACAACTTGCATGCCGTATGGCTTTTTGACTGACAGTTTGGCCACCGGGATTTCCTCTGTCATGTAAATATACGCGTCTATGCTTGACGCGGCGAATGTCCAACAGTAACCCCACGTTTATCGACTCTTTAATTCTGTTGTAAGTACCGGTGAGTTTCAATGGTAGCCTTGACTGCTCAAGACAGACAAGCTTGCATACAGAATTCGGCAGCGTCGGCTTGGTGATGCCGCAGGGAGTGAATGTAAGTTCAAGGTCCTGATTGCCGGGATGCTTTCCATCCTCAAGTCTACGACGCCAATTCTCTACTTCATGACTAAAAAATAAAGCCCGGTATTTTTTTAAGCTACAAAACATTGACCGTCCCCTGGCTTCTTTTTTTTTTTTTTAATGCGGTCGCATTTAACATTTCCAACTTTCTTGGATGTCCAACAACAACTGAACAAAAAACATCGCAATGTTCCTGGAAATATTTTAGGCGACAGATGAACTATTAGTAAGCACCAATTAAACATTTGGACGCGTGTAGCTTTTATTTTACAGCTCTGTAGTTTCTTTTCCTTGAATCCTATAAGTCACATTAAAAATTATCAATTTTTGCTTTTCTTGACAAAATATCGTCCGACGTCTGATACCCAGGCAGTCACTGCCTGGGTTTCAGAACGCAAATCAATTAAAATGTTGATATTTTCTTAAAAAGGTTTTATTCCACTGAGTGTTCCTGGAAGTTGGCAATGAACAGCCAGGAGTTTTTATGTTTCCGGGAGGTTCTATATGTCAATGTCAGTTGCATGGCGCGTTTACAATGGTCGTAAAAAAATCATATTTTGTAATGTCATTATTCATTTTCGCAAACATGCATGTCGCGACGTCTATAAATTTCTGCAAAATGTCTCCGCCAACTACCTCATGCAGAAAATAAGCGAGTATCCCCCCCCCCCCCCCCCTTTTTCCCCTCGGTTTGGGAAAGAAGGAGTGTCGCTTGTTGTTTTTATTGACTTACTAAGACCTTAAGAAACGCCAGGCGTGGCCTATTACCTTCCTACTTCGTAATTGGCCCTTCGACGTTCTTATCGGCCAATGCTGCAACTTGATTGGCTGTGGAGAGATAATTCGATGCTTAGGACTCGCCACGCCCCGCTTCTTTCAAACTGTCAACGACAATAATCACACAGTCAATTTTTTAAATAAAAATATAAATAATGTTTTAACGTTAAATAAAAAAAAGAAAACGTAATGAATCGTTCAACGTTATTTTGTAATTAATTATCTTTTGCCTGACACTTTTTTGATATGAAACAATGAAGCATTGTTTCGGACAAGCAAATTTGCCGTCGAGAAGATATCTGTTATTTTCTTTATAGATTGTGTTCATAAAAAATAAAAAAGCGGCGTGTGTGAAGAAAAAAGAAAAGCACGCTGGTGTACCCTTTTAAGGTGAAAGTGGGAGGCGATATTTTATTTATTAGAATTGTGTTAATAAAGAAGCGGTGTGATCCTGAATAATGAAGAAATAAAGTAAAAATCGCATGCTGGGTGTATCTTTTCAAAGTAAGATTGGCGGACAATGTTTTGTATATAAAAAAAAGAAAAAAAAAGAAGGGGACGCCCGCGATGCTTCACATTTGTCATCGAAGTTCTTCAAAACGCGGGACACTGAAAGCTATCTGATAGACGCGCGATTTTCTGTTTTCCTCAATTATTTCCAAGGGTAACTCACTCGTGAGTCGCGTCGCTAGGCGACGACAGACTCAACCCACGCTCCGTCCACTGTCCTTGACGGGCGACCCAGATAGGAGGGTCCGTGCCGCGTTCGTTCGCTCGACCTCCGAACACTCAAGTGTGTACATCGACAACTCCCGCCGGACAAAAATAGCCCACCACGTTGTATCGCCAGACCGATGGGATCGTTTTTAGGGTAGCTCAGAGCAACTCCCGCACACATTGTGTTAAGCCGTCAGGTTCAATCGTTAGGTATAAAGAGCCTGGATTTAAGGGAGGAAGCAACTACAATCACGGAAAGCGCTTGCAATTTAAAGGCGGACACCTCCTTGCTGGTGCGCATGCGTGGGTTTTCAAGTGGCAAGGAGGATGGCTGGGGTAGAGGGTGAGCAAAGCCTGGAGATGCCTGCCGATGATTGACGCCTTCGGCCCCTTCCTTGCAACTCGTATTGCACACGCTGCCCATGAGCCACGTGACCTCGATTCGAGCAGTTGGAGAAACGCTCTAAAATGTAGGCACACTAGTAGGCCCGGTCATCAAGAAGCGGCGGCCTCGCTCACGGGATTCGCACGACTGGTTGACAGCAACAATCATGGGCCTTCTGGGATTCCTTGGATTGCCGGACTGGATTATTTTATTGGCCACTGCTTTAGTCCTGCTGTATATGTGAGTGTCTTCGCGCGTCTCTATTTGTGCGAATAGAGTTGGCGTTCGACATACACCATTTTTCAAAGTGTTCGCCTTCGGCGTGCTGTCGTATTTTCGTCTGCTGGGCAGAGAACGCATTCTGGTGATAATAGAATGCCTGCGTTTGTTAAGCTGCCAGTGTCAAAGAGAAGGACGTTTCATGGAATGAGACCCCGCCTACCGCAACGAACATTGGCGTTCATTTGAGGTAACCCCTTAGAAAAAAAAATAATAAGGAAGGGAACTGCCAGCTTAGTGAGGTGCACGTATTTCTCGCGAAAGCGCGGCGGTCGTGTCGTTAGGGAGTTTTCGTAGATCGTTTTCCCACCTCCGCTACGCTCTCCGGAACGAAGATGCCACTACTGCGCATGCGCGGCACTAGCCTTCCTGCGGAGTTTCGGATCTCGTAGCAGGTTGCGGAAAACGTTGCGGGACTGCGGAAACGATCCACGAAAACTCCTTAGTGCGTACTCTTCGTTTGTGATCACGTTAAAGCCCCTGAACTTGGCTTGAGGGCAGGCGTCTGGAAAGCGTAATTCGATGAAGCCCATTTTCCTAGCCTCGTCATTTATTTATCTATTTGCTTTACACTCAGGGCCCGAAGGCATTACAGGGGGGATGGGGGGGGGGGGGGGGGGGGGGGGGCAAAGTTGGGTTCACAACAATGTACAGATATTTACACTCAACAGAAAAATGATTGGTTAGAGCATGGATGGATATGGATATGGATATGGTGGCTTAACCCTTTGTATCGGGCGATCACAGTTTTAACAAAACTGAATCTAGCCAGAAAGAAAAAAAAAAAAAAAAAAAAACCTAGACCTAGAAAGTACAGTGTTGGTGATGGATATCAGTTGGTCCGAGAAGGTGGTTCCAGTTGAGGGACGTGCGAGGAAGGAAAGGAGAATGGAATGTAGATGTGATATCGATAGGTACCTCAACTTTGTGCTGATTATCATGACGAGCAGAAATATAAAAGGGACGGTGATAAATTTGTCGCGAAGCACAGAGTTATAAGAACATATTTTCTGAAATAAAGAGAGGCGTGAAAGCTTACGTCGCAGGAAGATCGGCAGAAGTGACAAAGTTGATTTCATAGAAGTGACGCTAGATTTATAATGATAATTAGAAATAATAAAACGAGCGGATCTATTTTTAATGACTCCAACGCGGTGATAAGAGTGGCTTGTCTGGGATCACAGACAAAAGCTGCATATTATGACTTCAATCAAACTAGAGTTTAAAAAAAAGAATAGCTTGAGGGAAACAGGTACTAATGAAAGGTTAGGCCTGAGGTATCCTAACATATAGCTGTGGCGTTCGACTTCCGCCGCCCGCCGCAGGTGATCGACCCTACGACTCGTTCCGTGGGCTCGGGCAGAGTTTGTTACAATGACTTGGCTGACAGGAGCCCGGACAAACAAAACAGTCAATGTCCATGGCCCGGCTTGACCTTCCTATTTCTAAGAGGTTAACGGGAACCGCCAACCCCCCCCCCCCCTCCCCCCCCCCCCCGCCTTAGTTTCGGCAATCGCCGCCGCATGGCGGGCCAAGCGCCCTACAACGGTTAGCATTAGATGTGATTGCTGAACATGTGTTTCCCATGAGAGGTTAGAAGTTATACGTACTCTTAAGTATTTGTAAGAAGATACCGTGTCCAGCTCAGCCTAATTAAGAAAGTAGTGAGTTTCATGTGACTGGGGAGATACAGGCATTCATCTGTAATTTGTTAGTAATAAGAGTCATAGACCATACTTCACACCACTCGTTGATAGCATTAATGTCAGACCGAAGCATGCTGTTATCATGATCATTAAGTATCTCATTCGCTTAGCCTTGAGATACTTAATGGTAAGCGTTATTATTTTTTTCAGAGGGCACAGAAATATAGCGCGACAAGAAAAAAAAAGAACGAGAAAAAATATTAGTCGACTTTGTTTCAGAAGGAAGTAAATACACAAGGAAAGAAGAATTCAAGATTAGCCGAAAGCACACGTCAGAAGGACCATCATGACCCTTGTCGTTTTGAAATGGCCCTGGTGAACATTCTGTTCTTTCGAAAATGCACACCATCTCGTTGCCCTTTTCTCGTGCGCATTATCGACCTTTGGCTATTTCTGGACGTGCTGCTTCTGTTCTCGCATTGTTTATTTTCATATTTTTTTC